TACGGACGAATGTCCAGGGGCAGTGTTGTCATCATGTTCATGTCTCATCATGTAAACCACATCATCATGTCAACCACCAATCATCATGTAGTTGGGAAGCGTAGCATTTCGGGAACGCGTGAAATCACGGGTGAAAACACTCTTGGGCGCGAAACCATGTGTTTTTTTTCGGGTTAAGTGGCTTCTGTGGTCGCCGAAGAAGGGTGTCTGTTTCCGCGGGTTGGGGCCTCGATCTGCAAAAGTTGTCGACAAAAAGTGCGCAGGACGGACTGTAGCGAGAGCTCGGTTTGCACTTCAAAATTGCAAAAAACTGACGGGGACGGAGCACTTTTGGAAGATGAGGTCGGAAAAATGTGCACCAGACTGTAGCGAGAGCTCGATTTCACATAAAAAACTTTAAAACTGACATGTTTGGAGAAGTCCTGTTATGGCTGCGCGACTGTTGGTCCATTTGGTGCCGCATTCCTGCTATGCGGGTTTGCAACTGGCTGTGACAAAACACATTGGCACAGCTGCGCAGCGACGCTGCGACACTCCTGGCAAGCGCGGTTGCAGCTGGAGGTTGCTAAACGCATTGTAACAGCTGCGCGAAAGGTAGCTCTTGACCATAGTGCTACTCTTGTGCTATGCGGGACTGCAGCTGGAGGTTGCTAAGCGCATTGTAACAGCTGCGCGAAGAGAAGAATTGGGTTGCAGAAGCTACAGAAGAGCTAGCTGGGAGGCAGCTCAGAGCACAAGTAGCCCAGACAAGTGGCTGCTCAGAGAAGTAGCTGAGAGAAGAGGTGCCTCAGCAAAAAGGTCAGTGAAGAAGTAGCTCAACTAAGATAAGTAGCTCGCCCATCCATCCATTCATCCGTCCATCCATCCCTTCATTCATTGGTTCATTGATGCATTGATTCATGGGTTCATGGGTTCACTGATTCATTGGTTCATTGATGCATTGATTTATGGGTTCATGGGTTCACTGATTCATTGGTTCATTGGTTCATTGATTCACTGAATCAGTTTTCATTGGTTCATCAGCTCATTCACTCATTGAGTCATTGCTTCATTGATTCATTGACTCACAAGTTCACTCGTGCATTGATTCATTGATTCATTTATCCACTGAATCGCTGATTCACGGAGTCCTTGATGCACTGAATCGTTTCATTCATTCATCGGTTGATTGCTCCATTGATTCACTGAGTCATTGCTGGTTTATTGATTCATCGCCTCGCTGCATTCATTCATTCATTCATTCATTCATTCGTTCACTCACTCACTCACTCACTCACTCAGTCATTCATTCGTTCATTCATTCATTCATTCATTCATTCGTGCGTTCGTTCGTTCGTTCATTGATTGATTGATTGATTGACTGATTGATTGATTGATTGATTGGTTGGTTGATTGTTTGATTGATTGGTTCACTGATTCATTGGTTCATCGACTCGTTAAATCATGGATTCATTAACTCATTGTCTCACTGAATCATCGATTCATTGATTCCTTGATTCACTGAACAATCGACTCATTGATTCATCGGTTCATTCATTGATTCACTGGTTCGTTGGTTCATTGATTCACTGATTAATGGGTTCATTGATTCATTGGTTCGATGCTTCACTGCTTGCTTGATTCATTGAGTCATTGCTTGGTCGCTTATATATTTCCTCGGGCAACGGCTTGAGACAGAGTTTATCAGCTCTAAAAATAATAATACCTAATATTATATATATATAAACGATAATGATCTGCCATTCAGGATTGAGACATCTCTTAGTGCAGGAAGATCGATGGATGCAAAAAAAATGAAAAATAATTACACCTACAGTAGATATGTATATATAAACATTATCTATATATATATATATCCGATCTAGCTATACCTATCAATATAATTCTAGACCCCCTGGACCCCCTGATTCGCCCTCCGGCAAATCGACCGAAAATCGCAGGAGGAGCAAACCGGTCAACAGCAAGAGCTCCGCCGAGTGCGGGTTCTCAAACAGACGCTGCAGCGGGCAAAGCCCTATACCAACCGGTGGCGCCTAGCAGCACAACAGCGTGCAGTGAGGGCGGTCCAAGCACAGGTTCGCCACTTAGTGGAACGCAATGGGGTGCTGCGAGAACTCCGCAGGGTGCGGGCTCTCAAGAGGCTCAGAGGAGGGCAGCGCACCGGCACTTTGCGCAGCAAGTGCAGAACCAGGTCCGCCACCTTGTGGCATTCCTGGAAGGTAGCTGAGGCCGGGGACTGCGGTTGGGGCCCGGAATCAGAATGAGGAATCATTTTTTCGCAAAAGGCAACTTGCATCTTCCATGTAACGAGACATATCCAACTTGCGAAATGCAATCCCGGACTCCCCAAAAAATTCGACTGTACACCATGATATAGATCGAAAGGTAATGGCCATTCCACTTCGCTAAATTGCGACATCCCCAATTCCCATCCACTGGCCTCTGCACATGGCACATTCCCGCACGGTTCCCCGTCAAGTGGTCTCAGCACGAGGACGGCATTGATTCATTGCCTGAGGCGTTTTGATCATTTTCACTTGGAAATGTGCCCCGCGCCGCAACACCGTGCATTTTTTCAATACCTAAAGTTCCAAAAGTGCTCCGAACCCGCTATGCTTTTCACATTTTCACTTTTAATTTTGACTTCCAGATGTTCAAGTCATATCAGGCAAGGGCCTGCAGTGACAAAACTTCGCAAATAGTGGCTCAAAGTACCGAATCTATGTTGGTCTTTGCAGGTCGCATTGTAATGGCTGCGGCAGGGTTGCTTGGCGCCGCGGCTGCGTGCGTAATACTATTGTCTTTTGCAGCTGGACATCGTAAATCGTTGCATCAAGGCTGCCATAGTGATTTGTCAGCAGATTTTCTCGATTTTGGCGCGGGCGATTTTCCCTTCAAAATTTCTTTTAAAAAGTGCTTCAAAAATCTTTTTTTTGCTTTGGTGCCAAGATCCGGCTTTGGAGCTGCAATTTCTCACGCCGTTGTTAATTGTGCGTCGTTCTATTGTGTTTTGCAACTCAGTCTGTGCAGACCGCATTGTAATGGCTGCGTCAGGGTTGCTTGGCGCCGCGGCTGCGTGCGTAATATTATTGTCTTTTGCCGCTGGAAATCGTAAATCGTAATGGAGTGGCTGCATCAAGGCTGCGATAGGGATTTGTCAGCAGATTTCCGCAGTTTAACAGCTTGCTGTGGGCAAAATCTTCTCTGTGTAAAAGCTTGCTGTAAAAGCTTTCTGTGTGTAAAAGCTTTTCTGTGTAAAAGCTTCTCTGTATAAATGCTTCTCTATGTAAGGGCTTCTCTGTGTGAAAGTTTGTTGTGTGTAAAAGCATCTGTGTGCAAAAGCTTTTCTGTGTAAAAGCTTGTCTGTGTAAAAGTTTGCTGTGCGCAGAGGCTTTTGTGTGTAAAAGCTTCTCTGTGTGAAAGCTTGCTCTGTGTAAAAGCTTCTGTGTGCAAAAGCTTTTCTGTGTAAAAGCTTCTCTGTGTAAAAGTTTGCTGTGTGGAAAAGCTTCTGTGTGTAAAGGCTTCTGTGTGAAAGCTTGCTGTGTGTAAAAACTTCTATGTGTAAAAGCTTTTCTGTGTAGGAGCTTCTTTGTGTGAAGGCTTGCTGTTTGTAAAAACTGTGTAAAGGCTTGCTGTGTGTAAAAGCTTCTGTGTGTAAAGGCTTCTGTGTGTAAAAGCTTCTCTGTGTAAATGCTTCTCTGTGTAAGGGCTTTTCTGTGTACAAACTTGTCTGTGTAAGGGCTTATTTGTGTGAAAGCTTGCTGTGTGCAAAAGCTTTTCTGTGTAATGCTTCTCTGTGTAAAAGTTTGCTGTGTGTAAAGGCTTCTGTGTGTAAAAGCTTCTCTGTGTGAAAGCTTGCTCTGTGCAAAAGCCTCTGTGAGCAAAAGCTTTTCTGAGTAAAAGTTTGCTGTGTGGAAAAGCTTCTGTGTGTAAAAGCTTCTGTGTGAAAGCTTGCTGTGTGTAAAAGCTTCTGTGTAAAGCTCGCTGTGAGTAAAAGCTTCCCTGTCTCTGTGTAAAAGCTTCTGTGTGTACAAGCTTCTCTGTGCAAAAGCTTGTTGTGTGTAAAAGCTTCTCTGTGTCAAATCTTCTCTGTGGAAAGCGTAGGGGTTGCTTGCTTTGGCGCCGAGATACGTTTTTGGAGCATGTTTTCGGCCAGAGAAGAGCTGAGATGATTTGAGAGTGCGCTGAGAAGAGCTGAGATGAGGTGAGACAAGCTGACAAGACCTGAGATCAGCTGAGAAGAAGAGCTCAGAAGATGTGAGAAGAGATGAGAAGACATAAGATGAGCTTATACCAACATTTGCCAAGCATTTGTTCTTCATCCACTAGAGTCACTAGAGTCACTGTAGTTCTTTGCCTTCGCCCTTCGCATTCTTCTACATAGTTTGGGAAAACAATACATCTGCTCTTCAATTTTTGATAGCTTTGGACATCAACACTGTAGATCATATCTTGGTAACAAGATGGTTTCCATGTTCAGACTTGCAACATGCCCAAATGCCATGCACTCTTTAATACTTGAAGCTCGGATTCAGGAGGGGAACTGCTCATCCTGGAACACTTGGCGAGTACAAGCCAAAACTGAAGTTGAGAAATGACATAGAAACAAGACAACGTAAAGAAGAACAAACGCCGTAGAGTGCCAATCACGAAATGGAAGCGATGGATGTCCACCTGGAGCGCCAGGTGCGGAGCAGCCTGTTTTCCAGAATATTGGATCACATGATCATAACTCAACAAAACAGCTGTTGCATAATTTACCAGTAGTACCGCCCAAGGCGGTGGCGGAAGTTTCAGAAATAGGAAACCTATAGGAGAGATTTGGTGTTGGACCGAAATGGTATAATTGGGAAATAAGGGACATATGAGGGAAACACTAAGGAAAAATAGGGACATCGTAGGTAAAAATAAGGACATAGTACGGAAAGGAGCGCACGGCTGCATACGAGCAGTACGTTGCGGAGCTCAAAACTCCCCGCCTGCGTGGCACGGTTACCGCCATGGCAGAGCGGGCGGCGGACAAGGCCTTGGCATCAAAGGCCCCATTGCAGGACACCGCGCTCCAGCTCCATGCATTCCTGCAGTTCACAATTTCATGTTATCGACGGGTTTTCAGCATCGCATCCTCATAACAAACATATAACAACCCACAATGACAAAGATTGCATGCCGTTCCTGCCAGGATGAAACGATGCGCTGGGCCCTGCGCTTCTGCATCCTGGGCCACCGCTCCATGGATGTTCCAAAGAAACATTCCTTGGAAGCGATGCTGGCCCTGCTTGCCGATTTTCTTCGCGAAGGCGCGGGTCGATAAGTGCATGAATTTCTCGGCATGGCCCCTGACCTTCCCCTGGTTCCTCGTTTCCACTCGATCCCCAAGACACAATCGCAATGCATGCAACCCTGAACGATTCCAAGCCAGATTCAATTTGTGAACGGTTCCTTGCCTGCAGGTGACGTCAAGAAGCGGGGCCAGCGCAGTACTGCAATCACGGCGGCGGAGCTGAGGCTGGACAGGGGCTTCACAAGACTTAGCACGTTGGGCTAGCAAGTGTAGCTGTAGCTGCACACATCGCGTTTTGATCGTCCACGTGCCTTTGCGCTTGTGTCTAGTAATGATATCTATCTGAATCTGAATCTATCTTTCTTTATCTCGGCACGCAGGCTTGAAGATCCCTCTGCCACTAAGACCCGGACCTTCGAGCTGTACGAGGACATTGTGAAAAAGGTGTTGGGCAACACGCCCTTAGGCATGGTTTGGCTGCCTGGGAACAAAGTCTTCCTGGGGCGAGAAGCCGGCCAAGCTGTTCGTTTTATTTTGACACAGCCACGGAGGGCAGTGGGCGCTGAGGCTGAAGGCCCGGCCCTGCGCACTCCGCTTCTTGAATTAGCATTTTTCCTATCTCACAAACTTTCTGATTCGGTGGGTTCGACCCGAGAATACCTGCTGGGCGAAGACCGCTCGGTGGATCATGTCCTCCGAATCTTCTCGAGGCGCCGCTCCACCAGTATCACTGCACTGCGCACTCTTTTTGACAGTGGCTTGTTGTAATTCATGCACGCAGACAAAGCAAAAAAAAGGGGCAGTTGCAGGGAAATAACAAGGAAATAATAGGGAAAAAATCCGAAGATGATAGGGAATTATTAGGGAAATAATAGGGATGACATAATAGGGAAATATTCGGGAAAACATAGGGAAATACTAGGGGCATATTAGGGAAGTAATAGGGACATAAAAGGGGGGGGAAGTTTCAATCAAGAAGTAGAATGGAGTCCATGGTTTAGTGGAACGCAGGGGGGGGACGTTTAAATAAAGAAGTAGAATGGAGACAATGGTTTGTTGGAACGCAGGGGGACGGAAGTTTAAATAAAAAAGTTAAGTAGAATAGAGACAATGTTTTAGTGGAACCCCGGGGGGGGAGTTTAGATAAAGAAGTACAATGGAGACCATGGTAAAGTGGAACGCAGGGGGGTAAGTTCAAATAAAGCAGTAGAATGGAGACAATGGTTTGGTGGAACGCAGGGGGGGAAGTGCAAATAAAGAAGTAGAATGGAGTATAGTGGAACGCAGTGGGGGTGAAGTTTAAATAAAGAAGTAGAATGGAGACAATGGTTTAGTGGAACGCAGGGGGAGGAAAAGTTTAAATAAAGAATTAGAATGGAGTCCATGGTTTAGTGGAACGCAGGGGGGGAAGTTTAAATAAAGAAGTAGAATGGAGACAATGGTTTAGTGGAACGCAGGGGGGGGGGAAAAGGTTAAATAAAGAAGTACAATGGAGACCATGGTAAAGTGGAACGCAGGGGGGGAAGTTTAAATAAAGAAGTGGAATGGAGACCATGGTATAGTGGAACGCAGGGGGGAAGTTTAAATCAAGCAGTAGAATGGAGGCCATGGTTTGGTGGAATGCAGGGGGAGGAGAAGTTTCAATAAAGAAGTAGAATGGAGTCCATGGTTTGGTGGAACGCAGGGGGGGAAGTTTAAATAAAGAAGTAGAATAGAGACCATGGTATAGTGGAACGCAGGGGGGGAAGTTTAAATCAAGAAGTAGAATGGAGACCATGGTTTGGTGGAACGCAGGGGGGGGTAAGTTTAAATAAAGAAGTATAATGGTGACAATGGTTTAGTGGAACGCAGGGGGGGGTAAGTTTAAAGAAGTATAATGGTGACAATGGTTTGGTGGAACGCAGGGGGGGGGAAGTTTAAATAAAGAAGTAGAATGGAGTCCATGGTATAGTGGAACGCAGGGGGGGGGAAGTTGAAATTAAGAAGTAGAAGGGAGACCATGTTTTGGTGGAACGCAGGGGGAGGAAAAGTTTCAATAAAGAAGTAGAATGGAGACAATGTTTTAGTGGAACGCAGGGGGGGAAGTTTAAATAAAGAAGTGGAATGGAGACCATGGTATAGTGGAACGCAGGGGGGGGAAGTTCAAATCAAGAAGTAGAATGGAGACAATGGTTTAGTGGAACGCAGGGGGGAAGTGTAAATAAAGAAGTAGAATGGAGACCATTGTATGGTGGAACGCAGGGGGGGGAGTGTAAATAAAGGGATAGGGTCGCAGGTGACCGGATAATAGGGTTGCAAGTGACCGGGTAGAATAGGGTCGCAAGTGACCGGATAATAGGGTCACAAGTGACCATGGTACCAACTAAAATAACTACCCAATTACCATGAGTAGTAGGCATAGTATTGAAAGATGTTGATCTAAGTCTTAAATGGGGTAAGGATCCAACTCAATTTAGCACAATCAGAAACCAACAGGAACGGTACAACCACAAACATGCGTCACCCCACATATTTCCTAAGACGCTTTTACTTTTTGTGATAGTCCCCTAGAAAACCCCTACTTGGATGAGCACCACAGTTGCATGGTCTCGAATCCCAGGGTATCCCATCTATCCTATATGCTATCCCATGGTATCCCATGGTACGAGAGGATGAACCAACCCGACAGTGCCACTAATCGGTGACGATTTGTCGGGGCCCCATCCTCCAAGAAGGCAGACAAGCGCTTGGAGCGAGGAGCCATGGTGCGTCAAGTGCGTTGGCGAAATTCCGCCTATTAGAGCAGTGTTGGAAGTGGATGTAAACGAATATCCAAAGGAAAAGATGGATTTACCAATTATATATATATATATACTGTATGTATGTATGTATATATATATCTATATATGGCCGTTTCTTTCAGTTTTTACCCTCAAGTTGAATGAAACATGCCTATTGCATCCCCCAGCTAGTCGCGCCAGAGGGCGACCTTTGTAAGCTTGAATGATCCCAAAAAAGTGATGGACATTAGTTGATTCAACCTGTGCATCTGGGATGCTTGCCGGACTTTCCTGTACAACTTGTGTGGAAACTCTTAATTTCGTGGACTTGGAAGATGACTTGTCCTCTTGTAAATAGCAACTTTGGGGTTCCACGTCAGTTTTCATGGCGTTGTAAAAACTTTCCAAGAACAAATGCACAACCAGAGGGCTGACATGCTGCTGTTATGAATATCCTCCGGTAATCAAACATGGCAATTGGCCATGGGAAATCCCATGTAAGTGGAGGTTTTATACCTGGGAAAATCATCGAACTAAATGGCGGATCTTGATGGGACAAAAGGATCCTTAAATACCACTTCACCGGTTGGTAAACCCAATTTTCATCAGCCATTTTCATAAACCATCACCCATTATGGGTTGTACAGTTTTTTTTAAAACAAATTGTTTTTACAAGTATATAAACCATCCCATCTATCCCGATAATTGCCAGTTGGTAGTTGGGCCATTGGGTGGATCCTTGAGGTGCAGCTGGCGGGGGATCGCCTCTGTTTTCAGCGCATCAGTGGTGAGGGACCGGACACCGGTTGGGCCGCTGGGCAACGCGGACAGCGGGCAGATGGGGAGGAAAAACGTGGTGATGACTTTGGGGATATGAGTGATTTCATCAACAGGGATTGGATTGAAAAGATGATAAGCAAACAACAGAAAATTGGGGATGGATCAAACACTATCACTATAGTTTGGCCACATGTTTTTTTGGGATGAACATCCAGCTTATACCTGCTTGAATGCGAACAGCAGGATACTGATTGGGTTTTGACCCATAGCCAAATTCAGAGATGCAACAAGATTAACAGTCCATATACTGTGTATATATATATACATATATATATACATATATATATACATATATATATGTACACATATATATGTATATATATATACACATATATATATATATATGTATAGGTGTGTATGTGATTATATCGACATAGATGGCATTCCATTCTGGAAAATGTCCCGACTCAGGTGTCGGTGAAGCTGAAAGATAAGATTCTCATGGAGACCCTGGGATTGCACAGGGCTCCATCAAGCCATGTTGGATTATCGGAGATTCCCCCGCGAATCACCAGTGGTTGTACTTCGTGGGGTTCTTGGATCTGGTTTTTTGAGATAAGCCTGGGAATCGAGGACGAACTCGATCGCCAGGGTTGCCAAGCATGGGGGCAAAAACCATCAGAATGAGGTATAAAACCAACCACCATGTGGATAATATATAGGCCATACTGAAAAATTAATAAGTAGCGAATGCCACAAGGTGGCAGATTTGGCCCAGGGCCAGTGCCGAAAAAATCATCTAGTCATCTGACCAAGCTGTGTCAAATATGCGATTTCGGGAGGAGGCTCCCAGTTTTTCACAAAGATTTCCTGTCTTTCCTGCGTGCTGGAATTCTCTATCCAGAAGATATCCAGGCAATGTGTCCCAGAGGAACTGTAGCTGACTGCTTTCTGGTTCCCCCAGCAGATGGATTGGTGGTGCAGTCTTATTGCGATAAGAAGACCCGGGCTGTACTCGGTTCCTTGCTGGGTGAGTCAGTTGCATCGCATTCTTTACATAATAATCGGTTTTCCATTTTCTTAGAAAAATATTGATATCCAGTGTTCTAAAAACTCAATCACTTTTCACAACGCTGAAAACCTACCAAACATACATATCCATCTATTTTTTTGGACATCTTGACTGTTATTGATCAGGAAAAGAGTTGATCCCACTTTTGGCACACGGAGTTGATCCATCCACACCATATCCCCATTCGGCTGAGGCCTGCTCCCATCCTGGAGCCAAAGGTGGGAGTCTTTTTTGGATGTCTGGTTGGGTAGTTGACCCAAGGTGGGAGATCAAAAGTCAGTACCTTCTGGTAATGCAGCTATGGACAAAATCACCATTCATGGGTAAACCATCATTTTTGAATATTTTTATCATCTATACATGGGCCAATTTCGATATGTGAAAGAACAAGAGGGTAGCAAACTGGATCCAGGAACAGTTCTTGAAGCCCGTAGGTCATGAACAATCATGAGCGGGATAGAAGCCTCCATATGGCACTAGTTGGTGATTTCTTCTGCTTCCAGAGTTTCAACATGGTTGTACAAATCCAGAATGCTGGAAATCAAGGCCGAATATGTTTGGCTTGTGTCGCTTGTCTTGGGGCCCCATGTGAAATTGCGGCGAAGGAACATTCACATTTATATCCATTTATTTAAATGTACTGATGCACACAATATACATGTATATATATATATACATAGATATGTGCCATAATCAAAACTAGGGCACCAATATAACAAATATATATATATATATGTATATATATATATACATATTTATACATAGATACATATATATATATATACACATAAATGTATACATATATACATATCATAATGACATTCTGTGATCGACTATCATGGGATTTTCGCCACAAAAAAACCGTGACCTCGCCCGCATCCAGGCTGTGGCGCAGGGCCAGGAGGCGAAAGTCTACGGCCCGGCCGCCGTTCCGGTGGAGAAAACGCGGAAGATTCGCCCCTTGGCGGCCCCTATGGATTAATATAAGAGGTTACCCTCTGGTAATTTAACATAACTATGGAAAATCACCATTTATAGTGAATTTTCCCATTAAAAATTGTGATTTTCAATAGCTATGTTAAATTACCAGAGGGTATGCTAACTGGCTTGTTAGGGATTATGAACTAACCCATAACGGGGATATTTACGAACCAGTATAATGGGATCGGATAGGGATATTTTTCCATGGCTCATGTGAAAAAGGCAGCAAAATCAGACAGATTTCTGGGGATGGAGAAAAACCTGGCTGATGAAAGTTTGTGAAGTCACCAGTTTCTTTTCTAGCAGAGCCAAAAGGTGGATGCTTTTTGGATTTTCCAAACGGGCAGCCCTCAATTGTCGTTGAACAACTTTGGATGGGGTGATGTGAGGTGAAAACAGGTGAAAAACCATGCAAAATGATCATCCAGAAGAGATCTGGCTTCTAGTTGAGCGTGCCCTACTAGCAAGAGTAGGAATAAGCTGGACACGCCAAAAACATGAGCCCTTGGAAAGTAATTTCCTAGTGAACATTGCATTTTTTTGAGTTTCAATCTTAAATCTTTGAGGTGTCGCATTTTGCCTTTCAAGTGTTCAGGACTTTGACACTCAATACCCCTTGGTTGGAACGTTCCCAATTTTCCTGTATCTGGACCTGTCTTCAAGTTGCCCCAAATCATTAGTTTCCCGATGAAAAATAGCAATCATTCAGGAGTCAGGACAGAATTTCAGGGTCCTCTATTTCAAGAAGCCCCATTTTTTATAGCGAACCGTGACCGTTTGCAGCTGAAGATGTTGAGGCGTCTTGTGCTTGCACGGTACAGCTGCCACCGAGAAGGTCTTAAGGTCATCTTCTCAGTGGGTCTGATTTGACAGATTTGGAACGGCAAAATCGAACTGGTTGCACCAGAAAACCACAATCGGAGAGTGAAAAGTACTCAAACTGCAGTTCAAGTTCTTTACAACACACACATGCATTATAATCATATATACAGAAGAAGAATATAAGAATCCATAACTTGATGGTTAGTTGCAACATTAGAAATTCAGCATTTCCCAGAACGAATCCCGTCCCCCTGATACCCAAGAATTCCTGGACAGTTAGGGGTATCTATTCATATTGGTTTCCTTTAGGGCTGTTTGATTTTAGGGGGAATGTATTATATGAAGTCCATTGTTAGTGTTATTATCATTATTAGGGAACCGGGAAAGAGAAAGGGAACTGGAAACACACAGGACTTCGCACACGCTGAAGAAAAGGAAGTGGAAAAACACAGCATTTTCAATCACGCCCGGGAAAGAGAACTGGAAAAACACGGCATTTTCAATCACATCCGGGAAAGGGAATTGGAAAAACAGCATTTTCAATTACACCCGGGAAAGGGAATTGGAAACACATTTTCAATCACGCCCAAGCAAGGGAGTTGGAAAAGCACCGCAGTTGCAATCACGTCTAAGGAAAGGAAATGGAAGAAGGCCGGAACTGAACCAGCAAAGCGCGCGTAAAGACAGCGTATCACGGAACAGAAAAAACAAACTACAAACTAGGAAAATTCACCCTTCACATTCTCTGCGCTCCTGCTGACCACCGCTCCCCGTACCGTAGATGGACGCATTATTCAAACCCTTGTAATCCAATAACCCCCCGCACCCCCAATTACAATGTTGTTTTTTGGTTTGGTTCGCTCCTGCGAATGGACGAAATAAATCAAACCCTAAGATCAGGAACAAAGATACGAAACTATAACATTGAAATTTGGGGGACAGGGGTTAGCCTACAACTCATGGATGCGGGGTTTGAATAATTTGTCCATCTACTGTAGTATTACTATTGGCTTTGACATAATTTGCATTTATTCATTTATGTGTTTGTCTATTTATTTATTTATTTATTTTAAATTTATTTATCTATCTTCTCAAAAAAACACATACATGAATTCAATAACGACCCCCAAAACAACGGAACCAATAAACTATTGGGTGTCTTATAGCTATTGGCTTTATTCATATTTCTTCATCTTTCAGAACTATTGGCTTTATGAATATATTGTTCATATATTTTAACTATTGGTCTATTACAACTATTTATTCTAACTAGTTATAATAAAATAGAAGTTAATAATATTATTAACAAAGTAGTAGTAATATTTGTTAATCATAATATTTTATTGCTATTGTTCATTTATTTTTCTCCAAAAATAACGATCGTTCCCCCATCGTTGGAACCCAGGGCTCAGCTGACGCATTTGCTGAAACTCTGCTCCGTGGCTTGGCGCGGAAAGCGGCGGCCAACGGGAGGGGAGTTGAAAATGGAGAAACCAGGGTATTTCACCCAGAAAAATGGTGATTTCGTCTGATTTCGTTTGATTTAGGGGAATTCAGCAAGCAAAAATGGTGATTTTAAAGTGGATTTCACCAGCAGAAACTAGGAATTGACTCGACAAAAAAACAGACATTTCATGAGGAATTGAGTACATATCTTGGCGACATAATGGGCAATGTATTGGAAACATAGGGTTTTGTTTTAGCTTTGACCAACAAAAGGTCGGCATCTCTGGTTGTTGAACCATCGTGTCTACCACCCGCAACAGTTCTACTCTCCCAGGAGGACTTTGAATTTCTGTTCCAGGAGCCGAAGCCGTGACGCCCTGAGGATCCATTAGGGGGTCACCATTTTGCTAAAGAATCTATTATAATATATGTATATTATATACATATACATAAATATATATATATATATAATATAGTAAAATATTATTATAATACAATATAATATAATATGATATGATAAAATATATAATGTATATGTATATATTATTTAGTGAGTCATCCGAGTCATCCAGTCATTTAAGGATCTTCATGTCATTTCCCACTTTCTTTTTTCGTTTGCGCGAGATTTCACCGTGTCTCGTTCCGTCGTTCAGGAGGGCTGCATTGAGTGCGATGAGGCAAATCCCATCGTGGCCAAACAGGTGGAGCTCATGAAGCAGTACTTCCCGGGAGAAAAGCTCCTTGGAGGATGGGAACGAACACTTAGTGGATGTTAAGATCAACATGAGTCTCTCTCTCTATATATATATATATGATATAAGATGATATAATATAATATGATATAAATATAATATAAATAAAATATAATATAGTATAATATGATATATAATATAATATAATACAATATAATATAATATAATATGATATATAATAAAATAAAATATATATGATATATAATAGAATATAATATATAATATAATAAATAATTTAATATATATATCATATACAATATAATATAATGTAATATAATATAATATATAATAGAATATAATATATAATACAATAAATTCTAAAATATCATAGACTAATCAGATAATATATTATCAAAAAAACAATATATAATATAAAATGACATATAATATAATACATAATATACTATATAATATATTTTTTTAATTTAATTTACAATAATATATATATATATTATATAATATACAATATAATATATATAGTATTTAATAAATAATATACCATATATAATATATAATATATAGTATATAATATATAATATATAAAATATAGTATATCAAATATAATATATCATATATAATATAAAATACCAAAATTAATTTATAATATAATATAGTATATTATAATATAATATTTAATATAATATAATATAATAAAATATAATATAATATAATATAATATGATATGATATAGTATAACATAATATAATATAATATAACATAACATAACATAATATAATATAATATAATATAATATAATATAATTATATATATAACACAATTTAATATAATAGATAGTATAATATATAATATGATGCACTCTATCATGTAATACATAATTTTATCTAATATATTATGTATAATATAGTATGTAATAATATAATATAATATATTATAGCATAATATAATATAATATATTGTAATATTATAAATCACGTAATGTAATGTAATGCAATTTAATGTAATGTAATGTAACATAAAATAATATATATTATATATATATTTAAATATATATATATAAATATTGATTATATATATATATATATGATGAATGTTATATACATTATACGATTGTTGGACATAATGGGATACATTTGCCAATTTTACTGATGGTCACGGAGATTTCCTGGGCCAATCAGCGAATCCGTGGACCCATATTTTCCCATGTAACTTGACCATGGCACTACCAAGTTTGTGGATCCCTTGCCTTGCTTAGCCGCGCTTATAGCCAGGCTGTTATGATTTCTTAGCTGGTTGCGGGGCTGTGGAGACGGAACCGAGCTAAAACGTGGTTTTTCACTGTGTATCACTCAAAACTGGTCATGCTCAGTCTACCATCGGTCACAAAGCTCTGCATCTCCACAAAGCATGCTGGCCTTTGGAAAATCCCATGGGTTTTGCGCAGGACATCGATCCACAAAGAAGGGTACCCTCTGGTAATGACTAAGATAGCTATTGAACATGGCCATTTATAGTGGATTTTCCCATTGAAAATGGTGATTTTCCCATAGTTATGTTAGTTTACCAGAGGGTAGTTCACCATCCGCAACGGTTCCGTTGGTCAATGCTACCCAGGGGAACATCCGCATCCGAGGTTCAAGCAGTGGGCTGAACCCTTGGGCGTGGATGGTGGTTGGAGGAGGTCTACCAGGGCGAGATGATCCCAAGGGGGGCCGGAAAAAAAAACCAGATGGTACGGGAAAATCAATGGCCACATGGCGATCTCAAATTTAGGTGAAGAAATGAGGTTTTCGACCCATTTCTGTGAAACCCAAACAGATTTTACCACGGGAGTTTTGAATGACAGCTCATTTTGGAAGAAATTGATGAAATCCTCAAGCAAGGACCCGGAATGAACCGATGCAGTACGAACCTAGGGTTTCTGGAGGGGTGTTAATGAAAGGGGCATTATCGGATAATATGGGGCAAGGGTTGAGATCTGATCCCAATTTGGGAACCCAAGTGTATCATTACTGTATCTATATCTATATATATACACACGTACAGACACCAATCAGACAAAGGATGGTGCGTGTGATGTTTGATGAGTCAATGGTCACACAACAAAAATGAGGAGTTCCGAAGAGGCAATAGCATTTGGTAGCCTAACCTAGCTATGGAAAATCACCATTGTTAAAAGCAAAATCATCGAACGGCTGCTCGCATCCATCTTGGAGTGAAGGAACAAATTTCACCATTTGAAGAGCCGCATTGTACTGTTCAGCCCAGTTTTGTTCCCACATATGTGTGTATATATATATATGTATACGTATATAAATATAAATATATATATAAATAAATAAATATATATATATATGCAATGACGGACCAACAGTTAGAATATAAAACCTTAAGATTTGCTTAGCTGACCTAAGCCGTTCTTCGGGGTATAGGGTATTTGGACCTAAGCCGAAAACCTTGGTCTTAGAATATGGGCACATGCACTTAGAATATGGTCAATGATGTCAGAAGAACCAATATCATGTTCGTCGCGCCGCAAAGATCATGCTCCGGACTTCAATGAAGCAAGACCGAATGATACGTTTACCTGTATTCTAACTGCAGGAAATGACCACAGGTGTTGCAAGAATGCGATATAATCACATTTGGTTGATTCAATTGCTGGAGGCAACATTTACTTTCAGGTACTGTGCTGTACCATACTTCAAGACATAATCTACTGCATGTGTCTCTTTCAGCATAATGGAAAACAGAACAGAACCCATGCAAGAACACACATGGTGAAAATTGCATTGCGCAAGTTGTTTGCTGGTACTTTGTGCGGTTGTGTGGTGCTGCTGGTGTTGGTTGCGAAGTGAGTGAGGGAAAAAACAATCCAAACACATCCATATTCTAACTGCACTTTTCACCACCAGAATTCACAAAGAAAACAAACAAGTTTTACCGTACCAACCAACCTCGGGAAAACTTTGGCCAACATAATATACTGCACGTGTCTCTTTCAGCATGTTGGAAAACAGGACAGAAATCATGCAAGAACAAACATGGTGAAAATTGCATTGCGCAAGTTGGTTGCTGGTATTTTGTGCGGTTGTGTGGTGCTGCTTGTTGGTTGCGAAGTGAGTGATGAAAAATAAATATCCAAACCTATCCATATTCAACTGCACTTTTCATCAGGAGAATTCACAAAGAGTACAAACAAGTTTTACCGTACCAACCAACCTCGGGAAAATTTTGGCCAACATAATCCACTGCATGTGTTTCTTTCAGCATAATGGAAAACAGAACAGAACCCATGCAAGAACAAGCATGGTGAAAATTGCATTGCGCAAGTTGGTTGCTGGTATTTTGTGCGGTTGTGTGGTGCTGCTGGTGTTGGTTGCGAAGTGAGTAAAGGGAAAAAAAACATCCAAACCTATCCATATTCTAACTGCACTTTTCACCACCAGAGTTCTCAAAGAAAACAAACAAGCCAACATAATCTGCTGTATGTGTATCTTTCAGCATGTTGGAAAACAGGACAGAAATCATGCAAGAACAAACATGGTGAAAATTGCGTTGCGCAAGTTGTTTGCTGGTATTTTGTGCGGTTGTGTGGTACTGCTTGTTGGTTACGAAGTGAGCGATGAAACTAAAACCATCCAAACCTATCCATATTCTAACTGCACTTTTCACCACCAGAGTTCACAAAGAAAACAAACAAATTTTACCGTACCAACCAACTTTATTGAAAACTTTGGCCAACACAATCTACTGTATGTGTCTCTTTTAGCATGGAAAACAGGAGAGAAACTATGCAAGAACAAGCATGGTGAAAATTGCATTGCGCAAGTTGTTTGCTGGTATTTTGTGCGGTTGTGTGGTGCTGCTGGTGTTGGTTGCGAAGTGAGTGAGGGAAAACAACCATCCAAACCTATACATATTCTAACTGCACTTTTCATCAGGAGAATTCACAAAGAGTACAAACAAGTTTTACCGTACCAACCAACCTCGGGAAAACTTTGGCGAACATAATCCACTGCATGTGTTTCTTTCAGCATAATGGAAAACAGAACAGAACCCATGCAAGAACAAGCATGGTGAAAATTGCATTGCGCAAGTTGTTTGCTGGTATTTTGTGCGGTTGTGTGGTGCTGCTGGTGTTGGTTGCGAAGTGAGTGAGGGAAAAAAAACCATCCAAACCTATCCATATTCTAACTGCACTTTTCATCAGGAGAATTCACAAAGAAAACAAACAAGTTTTACCGTATCAACCAACCTCGGGAAAACTTTGGCCAACATAATCCACTGCATGTGTTTCTTTCAGCATAATGGAAAACAGAAATGAACCCATGCAAGAACAAGCATGGTGAAAATTGCATTGCGCAAGTTGTTTGCTGGTATTTTGTGCCGTTGTGTGGTGCTGCTGGTGTTGGTTGCGAAGTGAGTGAGGGAAAAAAAACATCCAAACCTATCCATATTCTAACTGCACTTTTCACCACCAGAGTTCACAAAGAAAACAAAGAAATTGTACGGTACCAACCAACTTTATTGAAAACTTTGGCCAACACAACCTACTGTATGTGTCTCTTTCAGCATGGAAAAGAGGAGAGAAACTATGCAAGAACAAGCATGGTGAAAATTGCATTGCGCAAGTTGTTTGCTGGTATTTTGTGCGGTTGTGTGGTGCTGCTGGTGTTGGTTGCGAAGTGAGTGAGGGAAAAAAAACATCCAAACCTATCCATATTCTAACTGCACTTTTCACCACCAGAGTTCACAAAGAAAACAAACAAGTTTTACCGTACCAACCAACCTCGGGAAAACTTTGGCCAACATAATCTGCTGTATGTGTATCTTTCAGCATGTTGGAAAACAGGACAGAACCCATGCAAGAACAAACATGGTAAAAATTGCATTGCGCAAGTTGTTTGCTGGTATTTTGTGCGGTTGTGTGGTGCTGCTGATGTTGGTTGCGAAGTGAGTGAGTTCACAAAGAAAACAAACAAGTTTTACCGTACCAACCGACCTCGGGACAACTTTGGCCAACATAATCTGCTGTATGTGTCTCTTTCAGCATGTTGGAAAACAGGACAGAACCCATGCAAGAACAAGCATTGTGAAAATTGCGTTGCGCAAGTTGTTTGCTGGTATTTTGTGCGGTTGTGTGGTGCTGCTGGTGTTGGTTGCAAAGTGAGTGAGGGAAAACAACCATCCAAACCTATCCATATTCTAACTGCACTTTTCACCACCAGAGTTCACAAAGAAAACAAACAAGTTTTACCGTACCAACCAACCTCGGGAAAATTTTGGCCAACATAATCCACTGCATGTGTTTCTTTCAGCATAATGGAAAACAGAACAGAACCCATGCAAGAACAGGCATGGTGAAAATTGCATTGCGCAAGTTGTTTGCTGGTATTTTGTGCGGTTGTGTGGTGCTGCTGGTGTTGGTTGCGAAGTGAGTGAGGGAAAAAAAACCATCCAAACCTATCCATATTCTAACTGCACTTTTCACCACCAGAGTTCACAAAGAAAACAAACAAGTTTTACCGTACCAACCGACCTCGGGAAAACTTTGGCCAACATAATCTGCTGTATGTGTCTCTTTCAGCATGTTGGAAAACAGGACAGAAATCATGCAAGAACAAGCATTGTGAAAATTGCGTTGCGCAAGTTGTTTGCTGGTATTTTGTGCGGTTGTGTGGTACTGCTTGTTGGTTACGAAGTGAGCGATGAAAAAAAACATCCAAACCTATCCATATTCTAACTGCACTTTTCACCACCAGAGTTCACAAAGAAAACAAAGAAATTGTACGGTACCAACCAACTTTATTGAAAACTTTGGCCAACACAACCTACTGTATGTGTCTCTTTCAGCATGGAAAAGAGGAGAGAAACTATGCAAGAACAAGCATGGTGAAAATTGCATTGCGCAAGTTGTTTGCTGGTATTTTGTGCGGTTGTGTGGTGCTGCTGGTGTTGGTTGCGAAGTGAGTGAGGGAAAAAAAAACCATCCAAACCTATCCATATTCTAACTGCACTTTTCACCACCAGAGTTCACAAAGAAAACAGACAAGTTTTACCGTACCAACCGACCTCGGGAAAACTTTGGCCAACATAATCTGCTGCATGTGTTTCTTTCAGCATAATGGAAAACAGGACAGAACCCATGCAAGAACAATCCAACTTTCATATTCTAACTGCTGGTCCCCGCTAGTAGGGGTGAGCAAAAATTGAGAACAAACTATTGGCTGGAAGGATGTGACATTCAATTTCATGGTTTTTGTATGTGTTGCATTATTTTTTGGTCGTTATACTGTGCTGGCTGCAGGCAGTGCAGTACTGTACTGCACGCACATGCAACATTGCACATATATCATATGTTCATATTCTATCTGCATATGTTGTTTGCATATTCTATCTGCTGTTTGGGGTCTTAGGTTTTTAGGTTTTTTTCCATATTCTATCTGTGACCTAGAAGTTTTTCATATTCTATCTGTTCGTCCAACATAGTACATATGCAAATATATATATATATGTATATATATATATAGAGCACCACTTGATATTGTAGAAGGAATGTCACCAAAGATGCAGCCAACTCCAAAAGAAAAAAAACACATGGCCACTTGCTACAGGTGCCCAACGCCAACGCCAGGTACGGCAAGTGGGAACCAGCCATGGACTTTGTCCAAGAGACAATGAAGAAGTTCGCGCCGGTGGATGTGTGCCATGCCGCAATGCAGAACAAGTGGTGATTTTGCTGAGAAAACATCTCAACAAATGGGGATATACTGTAACTGATGTGGCTATGGAGTCCATGGAGGATGTGATTGGCTAAATTAGGCCATCAAAATAGGGAGGCAAAACAACAGCTGGGTAAGCGAGATGAGACCAATCTTTCTGACCGACCAGTCGCCCCATAAATGATGTGGTTTCAAAACAAAATGGGGGAATCATCCAAGGTAAAGTGGAAAAATATGAAACATGGCTGAGGTTGCGGATGATGATAGAGTCTAAGTAAGTTTTGGATAGATTTGGCAGGATCAGCTTCTAGACGACTAAGATCTGGGGATTTGGCACATTTTGGAACTGTTCCCCTGGCCCCGAAAAACCATGCCATCCTCGACCATTGTCATCCATCAGGATGTGCCACCCAAAAAAGCCAGCTTGATCTGCCAAGTTTTGTCCCTGGAACATCTGGAAACAAAAAATCAATCCCAATCTTGTTGAAGCTTCAGTGACCTCCCAGTGAGATTTCGCACTTCCAGTCCGTGTCCATGGCTCCTCCATGGCTCTGGTCCTTCAGGTTGCTGGGCTTTAGCCAAGGGAGCAATTTGGCACATCCATTGGCCGCGCGCGCTGCGCGAGGTGCGCTGGGGTCTCAAACCCGGGGACGGTGCTGGAAATGGGACTGGAAGGTCCCAAAAGATGGCCGATTTCTATATGTTTCCAGGATGGGTTTGTTTCGATGCAGTTTCCCCCCGTTATTTTTCAGGCTGCCAAGTTTTCGGCATCAGGAACTGGGTTTTCCATGGGTTTTCTAATTCTTTCCCCACCGGTTTTCCATGAATAGTTTGGAATTGCTATACACAACCCTTCAGCTAGGCAATCACTGGAGAAAGGGGCAGGTTTATAGTCGAGAAGAATTTACCAACCGTTTTTTTTGGGAAAAAGATAGAGGTATATTGCATTTAAACAAGTGTAATTAATTGTACACACACACATATATATATATATGTTATATGAACGTGTTTTTTAAATATATGATAAGACAAATAAGTGTATGTATGTGTATATATATATATATACAGATACACATTCTGGCGCTTTTCTACAAGGATTATTGTGAATCCTTACAGCCAAATTGTATAGAGACTTAGAGCTCCTCACTATAGACATGAGTAGAGAAACGCAGAGAACACCACGATCCGCAGGACATCCGGGGATGCCGCCCATCAACTGTGTGGTGCACTTCTGCACAACAAAGCCTGGCTGGGTAGCGCAGACGCCGGAGCTGTTTGAGTACCAGAGCCTGGGCTTTTTCTATGGCCAGTTTGATGGCGAAAACGGGGAAAGCACTGGGATTTTGGGTACCCTATTGTGTGAACGGAATCATTTCTTCACAGAAGATACAGTGGGACAAAACCTATCCGTTCATGGCTTTATGTTTTGTGGCTCTGTGGACTACAGAGAAGAACTCACCCATTTGTCATTTCCAACTTTGCTCATGCTGCCCAGGCCACATTTTACGGTGGTAAGTTGGTAGGTTGGTAGTTTCATTTTCCCCTTGGGTTGATTAAAGAACCAAATTTCGGCTTCTGGCACTTTCCCGCAATGATGGTCTCCTACTACTAAAAAAAGGGAACCTCATCCAAATGCGATCGGCAATGTTGTAAGGGTATATGATGATTCGTTTTTGTTTCACCCCATCAACGTATCTTGGTGGAGATATAAAGAAAGGTAAGCTCCCAAACAAAGACCTTTCTCTAGGGTTGTCCCTTCTTTGAGCCAGTGGCCTGGCCTTTCATACTTTTGTCTGCCAAGGCCTTTGGGTTTATTCAAACCCCTCTTTTGAGTGGAGTTTCCCACATATCTTTGAAAATTGTTAAAGATTCAGAGGAAACCCAAAACACATATTTTTCGTTGAGTTCTGCCGAAAAGTCTTCCCATGTTTTCGCATCCAAGTTGCAGCGCTAGGATTCCAGTGCCCGCGCTGCTCATCGAGGGAAAGGTGGATGAGACCGCGCAGGGGGCCGCGGATGTGGCGCTGACCTATGCGGATCCAGTGCCTTGGTGGATCCCGGTGGATCCCGGTGGATCCCATGGGAGAAAACCATGGGGGATTTGAAAGTGGGAACTGACTGTACCATGTCTTTTTTGTTGGTGAGGTTAGATTCACCTTAAAGGATAAGTGTGTTTGTTTCAGAGCTTCGAGACGGAGAGATGGGGTCAGATTCTGTCAGATTTCTCCCAGCTGATGCTGGTTGACCTGAGAATCTGAAGATCGAGGTTTTGTGTAATCCACAGGTTTTGGACTCTCCCGTCATACTGTTTTGGCTTAATTTGAAAAACAGGACATTTTCCATCAATGCATTGACTTGTTCGAGATGGATTGAGACCTATTTTCACATTTTTTTTTTGGATGCACCCCGTTTAGCAGCTATTTTGGTCTGAACGACGTTGTACCAGGGGGTTTGACCCATGTCAGGTGGTGGTGAAGCACAGTGACGGCTTGAATCTGAGAATCTGTGGATGTTTGTGACCCCGCTGGGGCCTAGGTACAAGGACAGAAATCCATAAGCGATAAGTTGGATTGAGTTGATTTGTTTCACTGGGCTATCGAACTTTCTTGGAGCTATGTTTGTTTCCTACAGTTGGATATTGGATGGGTGAACATAAGCCAATTTTACAACTACAAGTAGGGGGTGGGGGGCCCATCTTGTAGCATAGCAAGGTGCAATTTGCCTGAGGGGTAAAAGGGGTGATACCATCTGGGTTTGTCCAAAATTGGGGATCACCCCAATTACCGTTAGTTTCTCTGAACCTTTATTCGCCAGCATAAATTTGGGGTTGATGGGGATCAACACCGCCACTTGGTGCATGACAGGTGGTTGTCCTTGCCAAAAACAGCAGGCTATCATAATGGATTCCGGGAATCCACAATTTATCTATGCTTTTTGGGATGTTCCAAGAGGTTTCCAATTGTTGCTTATATAAAACCAGAAAAACATGAAGCCCAAAACCACATGAAACCATGCAAGTAACCATAAAGCATGTAAAACCCATGATTCTTGCGGAATCTCCAATAGTTTTGGTTCAGCTGACTTCCCTGTTCCACAAAATCCTTAAGGCCACCGACCTTTCCCCAAAGATGTGGCGGAAGCGCGGGAGTTGGCACAGAAGATTCGGGATTTTGTGCCTGGGTGGGAGGGGGGAGGCTTACTTGGAGGAACCCCCGCGATCATAACCAATCAGCCACGTTTTTAGGTTTTACCACCAGATTTCCGATGGTTAAAACCCATATAACCTCTGGTAATTTCACAGTTTGCTATTCAAAACGGTCGATTTAGCTGAATGATTGCCCTTTTGAACATTGTTGGAAAATGTGAAATCGAGGGTAAATGTTTGGAGATCTGCCAAATTTGGAAGAGCTGTAGAGACTGTGAAGGTTGGATTGCGGTTTCCGCATTGAAGTCAGCTTGAAAAAGTGCAAAGGTTGGAAAGGTGCTAGTTCCAATGTGCTAAGCCCAATCATCAACTCCAGGTACAATCTTCACATGATTGGGTTATCATCTTTTTAATAATCTTATTGGGGATATATCCCATTACATGGGAAGCTTCTCAACTCCCAGTTGGAGGGGCCCTCCACCAGGTACTTTTGCATTGCCGTGGCTCGAGCCTGTAACAACGCCGAAAGAAAAGAAGAAGTGAAGGGAGCCGGGCAAACGGGATGGTGAAAAGGTTGGTGACTGTTTTTCATGCATCAGCCAGATCCATATAGATATCCATTCCTCAGTTTCTTTTGGCTTATTCACGGTTGTTCACCAGGGGTAAAGCTTTGGACACCTTGAAAAGAAGGGACCACACATCAACCTGACGATAGTCGTGGCCATTTACTGGTCAAAGCTTTCTGAATCCATCCCCGCTGACATCAAATGCCCTTTGGTTATTTGACCTAGCGATGGAACATGGCCCATTTATGGATGATTTACCTATTGAACACATAATTTTCCATAATCATCTTAAATTACCAGAGATACCCCTAAAGCTGAAACCGTGATTTAGTATTGGAGCACACACACACATATATATACACATAGGATGGTCATCATGTAGCCATTGAAATCCCATGGGGCCCATGACCATGGGGCCCATGACAAAGGGGGGCCACCAGGCGAGGCCTTACCGTTGCTTCCGTGGCTGCCTGGGATGCCGGCCCCTTGTCGTTCCAGGGCACCTGGGAGGAGGGCGACGACTTTTTGATCAACTGGTGAATGGTTGGTGAATATGCAAATATGCCATCATTTTTTGCTATGAAAGGAGAGTTGTGACCCATACACCTAAGTTAAACATTTGTCATGAGCTGATGAAAGGGGGTGGAACCCTCCAACAATCTCTGACTGATGATTGATGTTTCACGTTGAAGGATATTGATGTTTCGAACTGTTGCTAGGTCGCAACAGTAGGATTGTTGGATCTGACCCCATCAGTTGGAATGTCACTTTCCACGACAATTTTGGTTGGTATCTGGGTTTGTCTGACATCAGGGTACCCCAATGCCAATATCCCATGGTTTATCATCATTTGCCCTCATAAAATGCCATCTTGGGCACGATCTGTTACGCATATGTGAAAAGACACATACACACATGTATACAATATGTACCCTCTGGTCATCAAACACGGCATTGGAAAATCCCCTACACATAATAGTTTCAATGGGATAATTGTCTATGAATGGTGGATTTTCAGTTGCCACGTTTGATTACCGGAGGATGTACAATATGTATATATATATATGTACAATATGTATATATATATATATAATATGTGTATATATACATACAATATATATATATAATGATATGTATGTACATATATATATAATGTGTATATATAATATGTGTATATAACATACATACATGTATATATATATACATACATGATATACACAGTACATATGACTATCATGACCCCCTATGCCATGCCAGCCATGACACTCCTCAGGTGGAATTTGATTTGTCAATGAAGGCGAGGTCGGTTTCAACGGTCTCTTTACGGTGGTGCAGAAGCTATCGGTGCAGTTGGGATAGTGGCAGAACTATGGCTATAACCTACAGACGAGTTGTGATATCACATCATAACACATGATATGAGCCCTTTTTCACTATGGCGACAAATAACCACTCATTGAGGAGTGTATAGAAACCATGAAACCAAGAATCGTAGCAAACACGTAGGATTCGAGAAAAAAGCATGCTATCAATCTATGACCAACATACCTTTGCTGCCTTCAATGCACCACCAGCGGCGGTTGAAGCGATCGACATGGGGAATGAGTTGGAAGAACCGGCCAAGATGGTACCTGAGAAGATCTTCGGCACTTCGTTGCTTTCTTCTAAGCATATGAGTTTGTCCAAAAATGGGGAATGCCCCGCAACTGTCTTTTGTATCGGGGAACATGATGATGAACATTTTTGCAGAAACCTATTTTCAGCCTCAAGTGGGTGGTCTCCGAAGTCACCAAACCAATTTTTGGATCACCACAGATTGTTCGTCTTGTCATCTATCCCAAGTCTCAACTAGTTTTTATTACCAGGTTTCCAGACCCTAAACTTCGGATAAGGCGCCCAACATCATGCTTGATATTGGGAAATCCAGGGCTTTCCGACACGAATGCCCATGCATCATGGGCTTGATCTTTGAATTCTATTGAGATTTCGAGATTTCCATATAGCAAAGTTTCTTGGAAACATCCAAACTTCTACATCTTGGAGATTTTTCCCATGGGTTTTTCTCACCATTTCGTGACCGTTCGTCCTCCCATCAGGATGGAAAGCCCAGTGCGGTGGCTGTGCGGCACCGCTTGGATTTTCATGCCAGCGAAGTTGGATCCTCTTTCGGGCCTCACCACCCAGTGTCCGCAGTTCGGACGAGGCTGACACAAATTTGGCACCTCAAAAGGACACAGCCAAAGTATGCCAAAGTGCGGTTAATGTGTTTTTTTTGTTGTTAATAGTTGTTAATGTTAATGTTTTCCTGTCAATGTTGAGTCACGATTGGACAAAGTTGACGTAGATAAAACGTTGATGTGGGAAAGGACGAAACAAGTCTAGCGGCCAGCTCGATTTGACGACCCTGCTTTGTGCTTATGGATGAAGTTTTACACATTGCAAGAACAGTTAGATATAGAGAATTCAAGATTCTCCATGGCGGGTGTACATAAGTTTTTTTCAATGGCATTTTATAGTCACTGGCCGAGAAGGCTTGCTACAGATTGCCTAGCACATCTTCAACCTGGTAAAGTGCCGTGGTGTGATCAAGGTACATTTTTTTTGGGTCCAATGCTTACAGGTTTCTGGGGTCTAGATTCATTGGTTTTCTGGGTTTAGGGTCGATTTTTAGAGGCGGCTCAGAGATTTTTCAGGTAACTCAAAGGTCTTCGGGAGTGACAAATTAGAAGCAGGACACACGAGCTGACGACGTGTGTTTACACTCGTTTACTCGGAGTTCGAGTTCCTGAAGATCGACATTGCACAAAAAAAATCACGATGCATCTTGAAACACACCTAGTTTGTAAAGATGATTATCCAGCGAGGGAATCTATGATTCGCGATGCTGGCCTCATGCAGCACGTTGCAACACGTTCAGGGCACCTCTCTGCTACCCCTTTTGGTGGCATCCACTGGTGGTGATTTCTGAGGTTTCAAGTTGAGATTCCCAAGAAATTTCAATTTGGGATTACAATTCTAGCATTTGTTTCCATGTTTTTTCTTGATGAGTGAAATATAACCAGACAGTGACTGCTGAATAGTGATTTAAACAATTGAGGTTTGTATGAATCATGGTTGTTGATATTAGAGATTATCAAGCGCTCGGAAGCACGGGTACAAGTGAAAATGATTGACCTCCCCAGTTAAAAGTGCGTAAACCATCTAACATCACCTATCTATAGATGTAATTACCATAACCCAACAGTTATTGGAGTTATGACTCAACCAACTTAGCAATCTCCCTGGGACCACTGGAGCATACTGGAGCTGGAGGTCCAATGCGCGATGCAATGGCAAGGCCGCAATTGCCATGAAGGTGGGTTCCCACAGAACGTTGGGCGTGTCGTCCTGGGAGTGGGGCAAACTGTGTAATATCATAATATGTGCCTCTCTCTCTCTATATATATATATATGTATATATATATATATTTATACATAAAATTCCATAATTATAATTGATCATATATGGACATTATATATGGATATGTGTGTATATATATGTATATATATGTATATATATATATGTATGTATATATATATATGTATATATATATACATATCCATATATGTATACATACATACACATATTCATAAACATAAACGCGTGAATGCATGTATAGTCTATGTATAATCTGTGCAAACTCATGTCCTGCAGTGTAGCCTGAAGCCAAGATTGCTTATTTTTGCCCCGCAAAAAGATGCCGGAAATGTTGGAGACCTGGAAATGAACACCGGCATCTTCCTGGGGATTGCCTCTGACATATCTTCAGATCGGATACCCTGGATTTTCTCAGAACCCAATAGATCCAGGCAGGTTTTGTTTCCCTCTTAAAGAGGTTTTTCCTGCTGTCAGTCCGCTCAGCCCAATGTCCGGCTGGCAGACTTACCCTTTCCATATGTTTCTTGTTGAAATCCAAGATTGACTGGCGAAGTAAGTTCCCCATGAAAATCCAATGTACCCTTTGGTAAACGTTTACAAAAAACGATGGAAAATCACCATTTATCCACGGGTAAATCAACTATTTCGACTGGGCCATTTTCATCCATTTTCAACAGTTAAACTGTTAGTATAACTATTGGGTACCCAACAATCTCCACAGTTCAAGATCCGCCGATCTGCCTCTGGAGGCCGACACAGGGCACCCGCTGATGGGCTGCTTCTGCGGCCTCGTCTGTGGGCGCCAGGGTCTCGTTGATGGAGCCGAGTTGGTGGCTAAGCACCTGGCCCAGGACGCTGGGTACCATGGGAAGTTACGGAGAAAAAGGTGAGTTTAGAGGTTTAGCCCAACATGGGAATTGATGGAAGAAAAACAGGCTATAGTTCTACAACATTGGGATTGAACTTAGAAGACATAGGGACTTAACTGAAGAACATGAAGATTTTGACCCACAAACTTTGAGGTTTAGCCAGCAAGTATCGTGGATTTAATCAAATAAGCAATGATTATTATTTAAATTCACATATATATATATATATAGTATGTCTCTGTTGCTTAAACCTATAGCAATCCCCATTTGGCAGGTTAAATCCTCAATTTTTCATGGTAAAACTCCAACATTTCTGATAGGTATACTCATCATTTTCTGGGCGGTCCGATCAGGATCTCTCTCAAGGGTTTGTGGGACGTGAGCAGGGCGGCATCAAGGGTGCCAAGGCCATTGGGCCATTTGAGTCGGAGGATTGTTCGTTGAAACCTGGGGGATTTCGCTACAACAGAAATCAGTAAGCTTCCTAGGATCATTTGGTTTTAAGACTATGAGAATTCTAGTTTCAAGGAAATTCAAGTTTGGAATTTTTGAGCCCCCCAAAAGTAACAAACACCATGCCTCCCAGGATTGTCATGGTGCATGTATTGGCATCCCCACTAGCTGTGAGCCAAGCAAACGGGTATGAGCCAAAGTTGGGAAGCTTGCCTTTAACATTGTGGGAGACAGCACAAAATATATGCACATGTTGTTTTTTTCCCCATGTGTGTTGCTTCACTAGCTTCTTCACTCATTCTTTGTTTTTTTTGATGGATAATGATTAAGTGGGCTCGATATGATATGCTGCTATAATCAGCCGTTCATCACCCATTATACAATATAATCAACCGTTTATCAACCATTCATCAAGAATCAACGTTGATTAATACCCTTTACCCTCAATGGTCACTACCCATTAAATACCAAATAAATGCCCCTTAAATAGTATCATTCATATCATTAAATACCGTTGAAGCAACCATTCATAGTGGGCTTATGATATGCTGCAGTATAGAATCAAGCAGAAAATCACCATGAAATGCCGGTCGTTTCAAACTACGCCAGGCTGCCATGCTGGCGGGCTTTCAGACCACGCAGCAGCGCTTCATGCAGTACGCCAGAATAGCCCAGCTTTCCTGTTGATGGGTTGTAAGCAACGCACACGTAGATTTAACTGCCAATATATGGGCTTTAAAAGATCGTTAAACCATGAAACATGGAATATGTTCCAGAAATCGTGGTTGATGGTTTCTTTTATGGGAATTTAGCCAAACATGGTAGTATAATGTGGATATAATAGGGATATCATAGGATATTAAATGGACTAATGCCTATTAGCAGGATATAGCACCCCCCAGCCATGGATAGAGAACTTGTTCACATCCGTGCCACTTTTTGGCATTTTTTTAGGGATCCCTGGAACCAACAAACATGGGGATTTAAGCACCACGTGACGTCAGCGTTTTAAAGCATGACAAATGGAATATGATCCAGAAATTGTGGTTGATGAGTTGACAAAAAACTTACCTGGTTTATTGGGAGGCATTATGACGAAGCCATATACAATAGTGATACCTATTTACGAACAAGTAACAAGTATGTCCGGGGATGGGATAAAGGTATTCTCCACTGTTCAGCCGTGGTTCAAGTGTTTTTTTCCCCAAGGACAGGGGCTCAAACATTACATCTTTTGCAGGTCGACATGTTTTACACATCTTTACACAATGGAAAAACGAATTCATATGCCCTGCAATACTTCAACATGGGTGGAAGATCACCCATTTGTCTATGATTTACTTTTTTTTTTCCCGATCGTCAGGTTCAATTACGATTGGTAACTTCACACTTGCAGGACATGTCTGCTAAATTTATCTGGATAAACTATACGACCTCACTGTGACGTCAATTGAAATTAGGTTGGGGAAGCATCTCAAAATGGCCTTATTTCCAGCCTATGATAGGCAAATGATTCCACACGACTTGGTGCTGTTATCTCTTTCTTTCGCCAATTTACCCCACAAACGTAGGGGTATTGGGAGCAAGCGGTTTTTCCATGGTTCATCGAAAACAGATCTCAGGCCCAGCGGCTCAGTGCCAACTCCGCGAAGATCTGGCTGGCGGCCGAAACAAGCGCCACTTGGCCCTTCACCCTGGGTCAGCTGGGCTGGATGGAACGAACACTGGTCAAACATGGCTGGGAATATATTTTCCGAACTAAATGGAGGTCTATAGCTGATAAGATCAGCTATAATCAACTATAAATGGTGGATTTTCAATTGCCATGTTTGATTGCGTTCGGGTACTCCTTTGTCATTTTGCTCAACTGGCCAGTATTTCAGGCACGAAGCACAGGTTTTTTTCACATTGCTCACTTGTGCAAATCGCAGATCTGCAGCTGCTGGTTTTGGGATAGGAGAGTGTGGCTGGGTAGGGGGAATGGAATGGATCGGTTGCTTGGTGTTTCATGATGTTTCCGTCCTTCTGTAAACTAATTCTCTGCTTTTGCCACTCCAAATCATAGGGGAACTTCCTTGATGGGCGCCATAGAAAGTAAACACCCCCTTCGGCCCAGAAAGGCCCATTCGTGACGGGCCCATCATTGTGGGAATACTGCGGAAACCGAAAGCAACTGGTTGGGATGACTTCAGCCTTCGCATTCCCCACAGCTGGCTACTTGAGAAACACTTCAGGCACTGACTTGCCTGGTCTTTGGTCCAGAGGGTCCTGATTCGCAGCACGGGAGCCCAGGGGCCCCAGGGGTCGTTGGAATTTCCAAAGAAAGAAGTGGCTCTGTCCCAAAATTGGTATATCCCAAGTTTATGGCAATGGTACTGGCGAAAATCCTGCTAAGTCATGGGATTTAACAAAAATGGGGACATTTTCCCAACATTTTCCCAACATGGAGGGAGCTAAGAAGCTACGGCTGTCCATACTCCAGGGGGAGCCAGCTGGAGCTACAAATTGAGTTTCCCAGGTTGTCAGTTCCAGGAAATCTCGATGTTTCAGGTGTCAGCAAAAGGCTCAATTTGAGGCAGAACTCTGTGTCACCCTAACCTCGATGCAGTATATCCCTATGATTCTATGATATTTCCGTGATATCCCCATCATATCCATAAAATTCATTAAAATTCCATCAAAACCACCTTTTAGGTTGGTGAATTTCCACATTGTTGTTGCTGGTGAAATCCCCATTCTGCGAACTGAAAATATCGGTTGTCCCGGCAACGCGCGACCCCGAGGCCGTGTCTTCTGGTGGGCGATGTGGGCTCCGATGGCAAAGCGCTGGTGCTGCGCCGTGTCCCTCGGATGATGATTTTTTCTTGGGGTTACAACGGTTAATTTTCCCCTTCCCCTCATGTCCAAACACATCAAACCCAAGTGAAAGCCTGATATAGGGTCTAATACTGGATTTGTTCATCCTTAAAGCCCATATGTACAAAACAATGATCGGGGGATGGGCTTCTTAAGGATCATCAATATAAACGCTGGGAATCATGGTATCCGGAAACTTTCAGGGACCAAGCGCGGGCTTCGGTCACACTTCTCAGGTTGGAAATTTGGTGATAGATGTAGCATGGTTTGCATGCTTTTTGTGCAGTGTGTAGACCGAAGTTGAGTGATACATCATCATATCCGCAAGATGTATTGTCATTGTCCATATATTTTGACATAGCGTTTCTGATCAAACTTGGAAATCAACATTTTGTGACTCCTGAAATCGCCATTCGGTGAATTTTCTGATGATTTTCAACTCACAATGGCCCCTGGGATCCTCCGTCCCCAGCGTATTTCAGGACGGTTCTGTCTCGCAACGTTTGGGGCGCTGCCAGGGTTGGGGCCTTCAGTGACCCACCTTGGGGAAAGGAGGGTTTTGCCAGGAAAAAGGGTGGGATTTCACCAGCCATGGGCACTTGAGGATTGTAACCAGTAAACATTGGGATTCTGCGAAAATTGTGGGGATTCAACCAGTAGACCTTTCAATTTAACCAAAAGAAACAGGCTCTACCCTTCGGGTAGTCTAAGTGGTCAATTTCTGACATTTTATAGATACCAGCAACGTATCTGGAAGCGCAGGATTTTCCATTGGCATTGTTGAGAATCATCTGGGCAAACAGTTGAGTTTTTTTTTCTGATTTGAAGCAAGAGAAAGGAGTGGGAAATGAAGCAGCAGAAAGGAGCGGGGAATGACCATTTGAAACATCGCGATAGACCTTGGCGAATGGTGGATTCTATACTTAGCTAGTTTTGAAATGGATATGGGTAGAATACACCCCCCAAATGGCAATTTCAAAAGGAGAAATGATGATTAAACAGCAGATTTAGGGGTAGCTTTTTGGCGGGTATCACAGGTTCGCCACGTTGTGGCCCCACCCCAGCTTCAAAGTGCCGCCAAATTTAAGAGATTTTGGTCATATTGCTTATCCAATTTTCATCCCAAGAGATTGACAGTATCAGATGAGCAATCAACAGTTTCATTGACATGACGATTCACCCATCAGGCGCAGGAATGGAATCCTTTGATCAGCGAGGAACATCCATGGGACACTACAGGTCATACCATCAGCCAATATGTCCCAGGGGCTCCATAAATCCTGCTGATTCTTGATTCCTTGGATGCACAATCAAATACCAAGATTGGCCATAATATTTGTGAACTCCCATACTTTCTCTCCATATGTATATATTCTTATTACTAGTATATTTATTATTAGTATTAGTATTTATTATTATTATTATTTATTTATTATTATTATTATTTATTATTATTATTTATTATTATTATCATTATTATTAGTACAGTATTTATTTTTATTGTTATACATACACACGTTGTTATATTAGATATCTAGATATTCGTTGGTGAACCAGTTATCTAACTTTGCGGAATCCGTCTTTTTCGACTGAGGTCAGGAGGCTGCAGCCAAAACCAAGGCGCGGGGGTTGGGCTCCCCGAGCTAGTCGCGAAAAGGAGGGAGGGCATTTCAGGTTACCCTCTGGTTATGTCAAAATAGCTATTGAAAATGGTGATTTCTAGTGGATTTTCCCATGAAAAATGGTGATTTTCCATAGCTACGTTAAATTACCAGAGGTTATATCCCATTAGAATGGCTGGTTGGTGGTTTGGAACATGAATTTTATTTTCCATTTCATATATGGGATAATCCGGATAATCCTTCCCATTGACGAACTCATATTTTTCAAGATGGTTATTGCACCACCAACCAGATGGCATTCAAAGCACATGACATTTTTTTCAAGGTGTACTTCCGAAATGGGAAGTGTCACGTTTGTGAATCATTATTGTTTCCCGCTCATATGGGTACTTAGATGATAGCTGATTACCCTCCGATAATGAAACTGGGCAATGGCCAAACCATCATTTCATAGATGATTTCTCATGATTTTCACGTCCGTGATCCCCCAGTTATAGGCGATTTGCCATTGCCATGTTTGATTAGCAGAGGGTAGTCGGATTTGTAGCAGTCTCACTGATGAGTCGTGTTAGTGGCCGTGTGGGAAGGTTCGGACAGTTGGATCTAAATATGCATAGCCGAAAGTTTCACATGATATACCTATATTGGTGATGGTCACAGTAATACAGGTAAACATATCCATTATAAGAAATCAATCCCATTCATGATAGTTGTAAGGAAACCATCATTTCCAATAAGGAATCCCATTCGTGATGGTGGGATACCCTAACTTCCAGCGTAACTTCACTTTGGCACACGTGCCATTCGTGTACGTCCAAAAACACGGCGTTCATCCCCGCTGTTCGTTCCGGTCAGGATGCGCTGAAAGCTTTTGAGCATGGTCTGAAAGGAAGCAGACCTGGTTGGGACTGGAACAAACTGGGATTTCATCGCATTTTTTTTTCGATTGCCGCTTTGGTCATTGAACATTTTTCTTTTTTGTGTAGTTGACCAAACTCTAGTTCCATGATAAATCCCTATTAAACAGATCAAACATGGTGATTTCCATGGCTATGTAACTGACACCAATGGCTTCACCTGAAAAAATCCCTGGGATAAACCACGAGACAGTGCTCGTGGTTACCACGAGCGGTTCATTGGATGTTGGACAATTACCCTCTGGTAATTTAACGTAGCTATTGAACATGGCCATTAATAGTGGATTTTCCCATTAAAAATGGTGATTTTCCATAGCTATGTTAGTTTACCAGAGGGTATGATGAAACAAGCTGAACATCTGCTTTTCCTAACTCTTTTTGCCCATCCGAAAAACAACCTTCCTAGAAATGGGTGGTTTAATTCACATTACCCTGGAATTACCCGCTGGGAATTTAATATAGCGATGGAACCTGGAACATATGAACAGAAATCACCATGTTCAATAAGCCAATCAGCCATAAATTGGCAATTTTCAACTGGGAGGACCATCCATCAGCTTTCCTCCCATTCCTGGAGCTCGACTGCTTGGATCCCCGAGTTTGGACTGAAGCCTGAGGAAAAACATCGGGAAAGTTTCGATTCTCTTCCTGGGTATTGGTCATAAAATATCTACCACTTCAGATTCAGGGATGGGCTTTCGGTTTATCCACCTGCGCCAAGCGGCAGACAAATCTCTCAAAATGCAAAAATCCCTGGGTACCTCACCGGGAAGTGGCAGAGAACATGTTCGGGGCAGGAAAACCATCGAAGATCGTTCGATTTTCTGTAGCTTGCCCCAGATACTTGCTCGCCAAAATTGAAGCATTGGAACAACAGCCATTGGAATGGGACAGATTGGAACCATTGAACCAGAAAGATTGGGACAACTTTGACTTTCAGAAACCAATGGGATGCAAGCCACATCCACAGCTCTGCCCAGGCCAAAGGAAAAGAAGGGCTTCGGAGCTCATGCGAAGGCCCATGTGGGATGCTTTTTGGCAACTTCTGCAAAGTGGGGGCCAAAAAAATGATGGCTCATAATTATCCCGATTGAACCATGCCTAGCAAAGCGACATAAAACGACCAGTTTTTCCGATTTTCAGAGGCATTTTTTTTGGTGTGTTGAAACCACCAGAAAGTCTTGACCTGAACCATGCACATGTTCGGAGAGATCCGGACAATTTGTGAGGTCTCAGATTGTGATCCATTCATATAAGATTTGACTGTTCTTGCAATTCTGAGACATCAGAGTATGTAACAACAGTAAGCAAACATAATTATACTCACATATGTATATATATATATTTGTGCCTGTCTCTGTATCTATCTATATGTATATACACCTAATACCTGATATTTGCCATCCAATATCTAATATCTACCATCTAATGTCTAATATCTAACCTAACAGCTCATATCCAATATCTATTGCTATATCGATATCTATATCGATATCCATATCTATATGTATACATCTATAACTATATCTAATATCTAATAGCTGATATCTAATATATGATATTCAATACCGACAATACCTACAATACCTAATACTATCTAATATCTATATCTAATATCTATATCTAATATCTATATATCTAATATCGAAACATCTAATTTTCTAAATATCTAAATATCAATATATCTATATCTATACTTCATTTATATAATTCATATAAATGTATCACATATATGATTTATATATTTTATATTTCATACAATTTATACAATTTATATCATTTATATCATTCATATCATTTATATTATTTACATATATATATATATACACCCATATAGCTATATATATATATATCTATCTCTCTCTCTATATATATATATATCTATAGATCTATAAATCTATCTACATATATATATATATATATTATATCAATGTTATCTATAAATCTACGTACAAGTGGTAGTATCCACGGAAAACCACACATTGGACCAGGAAGCTGGTCTGATGGCGCACCTGGAGCTCTGCCAGCTGGACCCGCTGACTACCCCCAAAATCTCCCAGATGAATGAGGTTGTGAAAGCTGATATTTTCACTATGTGGTCATTTTGAGGTACCATTTTGAGACCATATAGTTTACCAGAAATTCTGATACAGAAAAATGATTCCAGTGGTTTAGAACCTTATTTTCCCAATAGAAGATGATGGCCATGAACTGTGGTGAATGATGGTGAATGGGTTGGGGTATCCCTTAAATGGCGGAACTTTGTTTCAGGCATCCCATTCATGATGGTGGGATGACCTGACCACCATTTACCATTAGTAACTTGACCACGGCACATCTAAATACACAAATATCAATATCAATATGTGTATATATATATATATGCATGCATATTTATGTATATGGTACTCCCCCTAACACAAAAACCATGTCCCAAGTTAATGACTACAAGGTGGCAAAAGGTAGGTTTTGAGGTGGGGGGCATCTACTGTATATATATATATATTATACACAATGAGTTCACATTTTGTATCCTTATTTTGACTTTTTTGTTGAGAAACACGATATCACAATAAAGGCCAGTTCTTATTGGCAGGGTAGAAAAGGGTGGCCATGGACAGACTGATTGATGGATACGTTGCAAGTTGGGTATCGGTATGGGTCAAATTGAAAGGGCGGCAGCTGCGTACTTTGTTCGATTTAATAGCAACCCATAGCATTTTGGGGTCAGCATGGTTGACTAGTACACAAAAAATGTACAGTATATACATGGATCATAGACAGTGACAATTTCTAGCTGAAGACAAAGACTACGTGCCACGGCAGTGTTCCAAGCTCGCCCCCCCTCCAAATCACCCCTAGTTCCAAGTCATCTTTTCAGCTGAAGCCTTGAGGGCTCAACCATCCAGCTGGAATATGGTCAGCAACTGATTGGTGGGGAATCATCCCAAATCGTCCACCGTTTCAAGCTGATGATTTTTTTTCCAGATACACCAATCATCATACAGGTATCCCGGATCCCCATTATTTCATCCTATTATCCGCATGATTTCTCCATCGTATCCCCAGAAAATCTACCATCTTGGACTGGTGCTTTGTGCCTTTTTTTTCGGGTTTTCTTTCAGGACTGGAGCAGTGATGCCATGCTGATCATGGGCAGCAAAGGTTTCTGGGACTCCTTTGATGAGCAGCAGCTGAGACATTTCGACACCTCCCGGAGGCCTCGGCCTTGGGGGGATGATGGATCATAAACCTCAGCTATTTTGATGTGAACCTCAGCCATAAACAAGATGGCTTTTGAGCCATAGCCACATAGCCATACCCGGGAAAATTGGAATTTGCAATGTAATGAGATCAGTGTGTCGTTGGAAAATCCATTGGGCCATGGCTCATATATAAATCCCCCAATTCTTCCATTCAGCAATAGCATTTCTATTCGCACATCCAGTTCCTCCATGATGTGACAAATCTCCCATTTAGTTTGAGGATTTTCCCAGCTACAACCCTCCATTTAGTTCAAGAGTTTCCCAGCTTGCTGATGTTTCATGAAACCAGAGGGTAACCCTAATTCTTGATTACATATCCCTTAAGACATACATGATAAGTTAAGATATGTCAATTCTATGCCCAATAAATCCCCATTTGGGTATGGATCAATACCTATTAATACCATTTTTAGTGGGATGAACATCCATTTACCAGCTATTTTGATGTTCACCAGGGGTACAAGGTTTTGACACACTGCCATTTATGATTAGTTCAGCTCTTTTTTGCTGGGTCTCCACAGCTGGGGCAAGGTCCTGTGCCGACCTGGCACAAAGCCTCTTGGACGCGAGCAGCTCGCGGCGCCGGACTGCTGAGGCCGGTGAAGAACAGGGGACTTTAAAGGCCGGTGAAGTGGCTAGAAAAAGCTAGGAATTGATCTGGGTAAATTATAACGACCTCACTACGACCTCACTGGAAATCATGGTTAGTAAGGGAAATCATCCCCAAATGGCCTTAATTCAGGTTAGTGAAAAATTATAATTTATCCAGAATTGATGGTAAAAACCAGGGGACACGAATATGGGAAACTCACTTTTGAAGTTGGTTTCGAGACTATGGACTGGGGCCATATTTTTGGGCTGAGGGGGTTAAAAAAAAGTGTTTAAGGCGAACATTTCCAACCATCTTTAGCACAGCGACGCTCACAAAAAGAGGAACTGTTGCTGAATTGCCATCAAAAGAGTTGCGATTGATTTGGGTTTGAAAAAAGGACACCCCAAATTTGATAGTTGATCATCTTTTTTTTCATAGAAATTTTGGGGTATCCCCCGTTTTCAGACCCATTTGTCTCTATTTCGACGGGAACGCTGTGACCTTCTTGCCCATTGTAGATACCCCCACAGGTGACCCCAGTTGATGGAATGGCTTAACCACCAAAATCCAAAAATAGGTGAGAATCGTACTGTAAACATACTGTAACTATCTATTTTTATCGAATGGTGAGTCACCATCTGGAAAATCTAGAATAACATCGGAAAATCTACAGGGAAAGCATCGAGGGGCCATCTCAGCATGTCAAATCCATAGTTTTAACAGTAACATTTTCCCTAGCAAAGAAATGAAATAAAACCATGTTTCAGGGGTGGAAACGTAGGACTTGGCGGTGCTGGTGATGCGCTTTCCCTGGGCTATGAAGGCGACCCCTACAGTGCAGGCGGGAATGGCATGATGATCTATCAGAAGATGATGAATCTCCAGTGGATGATGAGAATGGTTGAGAAGGGTCAAAAACCACGGTAGAAACAGTTGTTTTATGAAAAAAAACTGGATCTGGAATCCTATTCCAAAACTTTTTAGACTGGCATGAGGGGACCATACAAGGATTTAGGCATGGTGCAGATAGGTTTGCTCTCCATTGATCTAAGCTAGCAATTGAAAGCATCCATTTGTAGGTGATTTAACACGATTTAACTATCGAATGTTTTTTTCCTCTTTAAATTTGCACTGCCATCTTAGACTACCGGAAGAGAGTCAATGTGGGAGGAATGAATTTTTGGCAATGCTCCCCGGCTGTGCAAAAAGTCGAAACAGGAAAGGCGAAGAAGAAACAAAAAAGCAAAGAAGCGGAAAGTGGAGGAGATCTGGGCTCAGTGAGGATTGCTTCGGTCTCCACAGATACAACGGTCTCTTGAACCCGACAGTCGAGGTCAATGATTCAATGATCTCCATGGACATGACATCCCTACATTCAGATGATTAGGGGCGACCTGGTCTTTGGTGATTTTCTGAGTGAAAAATTGGTTGAAGGGGTATCCTTTCAGATAATTCCCTTCCTCCTAAGATGGAAATCTCGATATATAAATGTTAAATCCTGGCATAATATTTAGGACAGTTTAGTCCTCTTAGGGGGTTAAGGACTGGGGCTACTATAATATGATCAGGGTAAGGAGCCTAGCTAAATCCAGCATTTTCAAGTGGTTCAAGCTGACAGGAGGTGGACGATATCTTCGCACCAGCGCAGGTGCCGCTGGGGCTGCTGGACCCTGCTAGCTTTGATCAGTGGATGAGCCACAGAAAACTCGGTGTTTTTTGTGCCACTCAGAGAAGTGTGCTTACTTGTTGTACATTTCACCCGCTAAGTGGGTTGCACATCCAAGTAAGTACCCAGAGCTGGGTATTTAGAAGAACTGTTTCAATGTGGCTTACGAATGGCTAGTTCGTCTCTGAAGACGGGTGAATTCACACCAGAGCTGTAACATGCTGTAGCTAAACTCACGGCAGTTGGAAGTTGAATGGAGTTGATGGGAGGCCTTTGTCCGGTGGATATGGGCGAGGTTCGAAACAACATGTACCGACAGTTCGAGGTCTTGATCCTCAAAGCGAACAGCCACCACAGGAGATATGTAACTCCGGGCAACCCCTGGCAACGGCAAGACCTTCGTTGGTGTTATTAACCACAATCTATTCGTATGAACCACAGATTATGCCTTTACTTTCATTTTTGCTGGGCAAAAACCAGGACGCCGCCATTCACCATTTTTGCAAGGCCAGTTCCTCATCAAACAGATGGTTCACCATTTCAGGACCTTGCATAATTTTGTGATATTTTATCCTCTTGGTACATTATCCCCACACATTCATTATTTTAGTCAATGTGGTAAACCCAATAATAAACCATCCCCAATACCACCATAAATAACTTGTAAAACCATCCCCTATATAGTAGGTTTATTATTGGGTTTACCATATTATTGAAAACCATCATAAACCATTTATAGATGATTGACCTTCCCACAAAAACCTCCATTAATTTAGCCATTAATTTGGTGTTTTCACTATTATTAACAATTTTCCCCAAATTAATATAGATTAATCACAATTACCATAGAAAATTAACAATCATTAAACATTTGGTTCGTCATTAACCATTGTGAACTATAGATTTCTATATCCCCATGATTATCTCGTTCGCTTCGCCACCAATTTTGCCAGGTGCAGGAAGAGGTGGAGAGCAGCGAGGAGCGCCGTTACGGCACGTGAGCGGTGGTGGACTTTACCAGCACAGGGATTTCACCATCTTTAACCAGGTATTTCAAATTGACTATCTTTTTTGGTGACCATTTTTTGAAAGGTTCAGTGACCGAAAAAACCAGGGGATGACGTCAGAAATTGAGTCTGGAATGGGCGGTAACAACGACCTGGGAGAATGGAGATTTTTCCATGAAGAAACTGGAGATTGAACCAGCAGAGAGTTAGGATCTCATCACGCATCCCAATTTGGGGGTTGATGATTTCTATCGATGCCCAGGGCCCAATAACAGTTATATACCTCATCCCTATTAAGAACCATTTTTGTCGGTTTATTTTTTTGGATATTTTTCTAAAAATGGATCATCCTTGTCCCCGTCACTAAAATGGTTTGCAAAATTGTGGTATCCCCGATTCTTGGGACATCCTAATCTGTTCACACCTTGTTTTGAAGGTCGAAGTGGTTGAAGCCCCACTTTTTCTTTGCCAAAGCCACCAGCATTTTATTGGTTACCCTCTGGTAAACTAACGTAACTATGGAAAATCACCATGCTATTAATGGGAAAACTCACTATTTCAATGGCCATTTTCAATAGTATGTTAAATTACCAGAGGTTAACACATGGATTTCTGGATTGCCACACATCCCAATCCTTGAAATCCTTTGGATTTCTCTGACAATGGAGTACCTCCAATTCTGATGGATTAAAACGATGGAGTTTCCCCATTGAATTTCCAATTTTGGGGTACCACTTGTGGACAAAACCATATGATTTGTGGTTGATAATTTTCCCAACAAGATCTCATTATGTACTGATGATATAGCGATTATATCCCCAGTATAGTTGGTATAGGGAAAACATACATAGCGACATAGCCACTATCCTCATGAAGTCCAAGCATCGCTGAATGTTATGCTGAACAAAATCCCGTTGTACCCCCACTTCATATTCTCTTGTCGTTGCGTTTTTGAAATGGTGGCTAATCTTTAGCCAGGCGCCGCTAAGCATGACTTTTTTTAGTGATGAAATTTTAAATTCTCATCCCATTTCCTAGTGATGTACTACCTTCGAGATGGACTAAGAATCCCATTAGCTAAGTATCCTGGAGTTCATACCCTCGTCCCATCTTCCCTGCGACTCCAGGAGTCTTCCTCGTCGTCAATCCCGGCGTCAGGCATGGATTGGGGGCCACGAGCCTAGGAGCCACGGCATGCCACGGCTTAGTAGCCATAGTTGTTTTCCAAATAAACAATGGCCATTTATGGTTACTAACCATAGTCCCATAGTTACTAACCATGGTGAACTGACCATGGATAACTCATAAATGGTGAGTTCACCATGGTTAGTTCACCATGGTTAACCATAAATGGGATAAGCCACGAATTGGGGACTCATTTACAGTATCTGAAAAAGATTTCCCCTAGTCCCAGACTCCGTGACCATCCCCATCGTCTGAGTCGTGGATGATTGCCAGAGGTGAATAAAACGTAAAAGGCCGTTGGTTGGTTGAAGTGAAATACCATGAACGTGTTGTAGACCCAATTTCATAAACCATCCCCAATAGAGATTTACTATCGGGTATACCCCTATATTGTAGAACTATATATATCACTGGGATGATGCTGCTGCTGATTCCCAAATTCTGGTGTGTGAACACCTTGTTCGGTTGAATGTCTGACAATGACATGACATCCAGATATCAACAAACCACCATCACATGATTTATACTACCTACTTGCAAAGCTGGAGGGGTATTTCGGTATATATATATATAAATACTTTAAATATACAATTCATGAACTATGCATATACCAACCACAATTTCATGGGATGTAACCGCAACCCAATAAAGAGGGCCCCGCACGATTCCTGGCAGCGCACAAAGCTTCCCTCTGGTTTTCGCACATTTTCATGGCAGGTGTGCCTGTGAAGGTTGACCTTGATGCTGAGGGGCAGGCGGGCTCAAACACTCTGGTAAACTAACAGTTTGCTGTGGAAATTCATCATGTTTATATAACAGTTTAACATGGATTTCTGAACTTGAAATTGCAATTTTATGCAATTTTCAATAGCTATGTTGAATTACCGAAGGGTAACCAGTAACCAGGAAACATGGCGTGTAATAAGCGTCATGAATGCGAACCTTTCTTGATGAGGTAAAGCGAATGCCATAAACCATCCCAATCGACATTTAAGACACTAGGCATACCCCCCAAAAAGCTGGGATGATGTAAAATGAAACCCTAAACTGGTCGGTTACCCGCAATGGTTTCTTACTGAGTTTACCACATGAAATTCTCTACGTGTTTGAAACTGGTAGTTTTGGTGACGCATCACGTCACACATGCAAGAAATATCTCTTCGGTTCGATTTAGTATTATTGTTATTGTTGATATCATGATATCATGATTGTTATTACTATTATCATTGATGTCATGATTCTCATGCTGATTGTTGTTGATATCATTCTTATATACAATTTATAGTATTTCATGTATATAAGATAATTGTTAAGATTATTGTATGATTTCAACAATATCAACAATATCATTATTATTATATTCTTATGATTGTTGATATTGTTAGTGATACGTATTACGTTTTTTAGACAATCCGAGTCTCCCAGTCTGCCAAGTTTTTGCAGAAAACCACCGGTGTCTCCACTGAGCTGAGCACCTCCTAGAGGGTTGGCCAAAGCAATGGTTGATCATCATTCTCGTGACTGAAAAACATGCTATAATATACGGTATATATAATATACTGTATAATATATATAATATATATATACACACTATATATATATATACAGTATATATATATATATATGCAATATATAGATACTCTCTCTCTCTCTATATACTATATATATATACAATATATATATATACACTATATATTACATATATACTATATAGATATGTATATATATATATTTATGATTATAATTGGGGTATTATTACCCCCATTCCTGGGCAACCCCGGCTGGGATTTGGAGTACTGTACTCATTCTGCACGAATCCCCGGCCGTTTGCGGCTCGAGCTGGGTCTGAAAATGGGTTGCATACCATCAAATGGCTGTTCTAAACCATCATAGTTTTGGGGCACCCAATTTTTCAAACCAAAATGGATGAAACCCGGCAAAATCAGCTGTCTAGTGGCCCATATGGAACCTCTATACAATGATTGGGAGCCTTTCTATGATGTTTAACTCAATTAACTCAATTGAGCCCCAAGTACTGGCTATAAACTCAGGAACCAAAGTCAAGCTGGTGGCAAGTGGCTGCAGGAGCCATGATCTAAAGCCATGGCTCCGAAGCGGTCGACCAAAACTGGAGAGAAGGCAGGGGATCAAGCTGGTCTCAGCAAAGATGGAGGAAGTCATCCAGATACCATCCCAGATACCATCCGTTTTCATCAAACAGCTGGGAAATCCCCAAAGTCAATGGAGGAATTCGTTCGCTGGGAAAATCCATTAAAAACTATGGTGGATCTTCCAGCCAACTGTTGCTGTTTGTTTGTTCACCAGAGTGAAGAATCTTGACGCAAAACATGGTCTCTGGAAGAGCCAAAAAACCACGAATCAGCTCAATATCAAGTCTAACCATAATCCACTCAGATCCATCTACATGAAAACCATAGCATCCCCATGCAGGCGCTGTTGACTGCTCTTGAAGGCGGAGAAAGTTTCGGGAGGGACCCAGGATGACCCAGGGACAAACACCCCCAAATTTGGGACATGCTCAGGATGTAAATTGGGGACCAAGTGGGACCCCAGACTGGTCGCTTTTTCCGACTTTTACGACTGTTTCTTACTGTCTTTGGTTGATCAACATTGTGATGAGCCATCGCTTCATGGACCATGCGGGCAGTCAGAGACGGATTGCCAGGCATCGAGTCTGCGGATAGGGTTCACCCCTCAGATTTTCAGGCCTTTACTACATCCCTATTTCAAAGTCAAGCTCCAAAATGAGCAAACGTGAAAAATCACTTGGGTATACGGTATAGGTCAAACTTGGGGTACCAATCAATGGATTCGCTAAAATGTCGGACGATTCTTGGTAACATTTTATCGGGATCGGGACTCCAATCAAGTCCATCCCGTAGCCATGAACGTAGGATGTGGCACTCAAGTACTGGATAAAGTGACCTATCTGCGAATTGACATGGATAAAGTGACCTAAGCAGCTCTTCAACCCATGACATACCCTACAGTTTTTTCAGCTCCACATGGCTATAGTTCGATGATATTCCCAGAAAACTAAACCTCCGGCTAGTTCCGGATTTCCCAACTTGCCACGTTTCACGATGAGGGTATTTGTTGGGTATCCATGCTCCCCTTGCCTGAAATTTTTCGCAGGCTATAGCTTGGAAGTGTCCTGGGCCCAGTATCTAGTGAGATCCTGTGGATTTTCAGTATAGATGCCAAGAAAACAAAAGATTAGATAGTCAATATTTAGTTGAATCATGGTAAATCCACTGAATTAATATCAGATACCTTCAGTTTTGGGCACCCCATTTTTTCTGAATAGATTCGAGTCACATTCCACCAAGGGTTCCTTTGGGATGTATTTAATACTTGATATGATCGGAGGAAGGGATTACCTTGTTTACTAGAGTAGATTGGACAAATATCGATGTCTGTTTGCCCGATGCGACAATTGAAGGTTTTAACATTTTTTACACTTCAACAATTGAAGGTTTGTCTCAAACATATCGTACCCCAAATGTGAATGGATGAGCTATCATCAGTTTCCTCATGTTTCCTCATTAAGATGGTCATTTTGGGATGCCTTATACTTCTCCAGAGTCGCCAAAGGCCCCAGTTACAGAAAGCTGAGCAGGCTGCGGGAACCACCAAAATGTGGATTTCTGTGAATTGAAATGAAGAACTTCGCCACAAAACCCACTCTGGTTGTGTCATTCTTTGCATTTTTTCCATATTTGTCCAATCTCTGCCTTCAATGATGATCCAAAATTGGACGAAGATTCAGCTGGGACATGGTGCAACCAGCCGATCTGATTGGGCTAAAGGAAGGGCAGGTGTACTAAGACAGCATGGTCTTCCTTGTCTCCTTGTCTCGTCCTAAACATATCTTGGGCTTTGCAGCCCTGTTCCCGGGGCTAGATCTCAAGCTTTTTTGTCAGGAACCAAAGGCCAAAAGCAAGGCCAAAGCCAAAGCCAAGGCGCGCAGAATGAGGCAGTTCCTGGGAGTGGTTCAAAGCCTCGCCACGTGCCTCGCCCTGACATGCCCTGACGGTGAGGTGAAAGCCAAAAGCAAAGGCAATGGCACAAAGAAGGCTGAAAAGAAGGAGGACAATGTCTTCGCTGTGTGGTGGTTCATTACTTTCTGAGTAGACTAGATTGGTTTCCTGATCAGAGAACTAACCCTACTTGGCATGCTCAGAGCGGGCCATTTTTTCGCCCACTTGCGGTTTTCACACCCAAGTGGCTTTATGTCAAAACGATATCCCAGCAAAGTGCCCATGAATTGGGGGAAAGTGAGATTTCAAACCAGGCTGCGTCAAGAATTGCGATTTCACCAGTAAAACTTGGGGACTTGCCAGTGATAAATAAGGGATTCAGCCATCCAAACATGGTGATTTCTTGCCACCAGCAGTGGTTTTTCGGGTTTCAGTCTCTGGGTCTGGGACTGGTGCTTCATGGATGCGAGCGAACGTGAAACTTCTCTGCCGTAACTATGAGTTTTCAATAGAATAGCTCTCGAAAAGTTTGGAACACTGATTTAATATGATTTAATTCCGATGTCAGATTTTTTAAATTCAGTTTTCCAAAAATCTTCATAGGTTTTTCTGGTTTTATGATGTTTTTATGGTGGTTTTTATGATGTTTTTATGGATTCCATAGCGATCTTTACGGCTTCCTATCAGGTCCCTGGGGTCCGCCAGGATGCGCCTGAGGATTCGCAGGATCTGCAAAGTCAGGTGGGACCGCGTGACTATCTGTGAGGATCTATGGTGGGTAGAAGGTGCCCATGGAAAATGCTGATTTACCCCCTGGTAAATTAACATAGACCCTGAAAATCACCCATTTTTAATGGAAACTAATCTTCCAACTCCTATCTGCCAGGGTCTATGTTAATTTGCCAGAGGGTAATATGATTTAATAATATTTAATCAACGAGAATGAGGGAAAAAACAAGTTATACAACTTAAGTTTATTTGAAATGGCCCGAGAGGCGACCCCAATCTTACTCGCCGGTAGTATAGAGTTAAATTATGATGGCTAAGTTGGTTGAAATAACCTAGCAGCTGCTAGATGAGATTTATGGTAGAGATATCGAACTAGTTAATGTTGGTGTTGAACCAACACAAGTGGAGGGAACCACCTTGTAAATGGGGAAGAACCTGTAAACCTGCAATCAATCTGCAGAGCCGGCGTGAGGCACCGCCCGGCAGTGGCGCTGGTGCCGGGGAGCAGTTGAAGGAACAGTTTCACGCCGCGTTGTCCAAGCTGGACGATCTCGCTTGTGTGAAGCGTCAGCGTGTGATGCCTGCAGAGCTGTAAATCGAGAGCTGTGGTGCCAGTGGTGCGGCGGTGCGGGAATCCAGAGATTGGAAGGATCACTTTTTTTGGGGCGGCGAGTAAATTTGACCATGCATAGTATGCATAGTCATAAGTTAGGGCAGACTGATTAGCAGCACAATTGCACCTATTCTGCATGGATGTAGCTGCTGTAGCTTCAACAGCAGCGGTGCAGGAAGTGGAAACGAAGGCTGAAGAGATGTGCCTGGGAGGGTCGGGATTCCAAACCTTGGTGCCGATCATAGCAGAAAATGAGGTGCCGGACATTTGTACATATTTGTCATTCTAGTTGGTCAGTCAGAAGTAGATCACCATATATCACCATTGAAAACATCAATATCAGACAATCACCATTCTTGGTTGGTCAGTCACCTCATGAAACCCAGCCTTTCGCCGATCTTTGGGGAGAAGTTGGGTATAAAACGGTATACCCCCATTTATGGCATTTTTTTTTGGAGGGGAAAATGATGGTAAAGTAGTGGATTTGGGGGGCTGATCTGAATTTTCTGGAACGTGCTTTCTTCGTCCCGGTTCACCCTCCATTGCAGTTTTCCTTGTGTGCGGCCGCAGTTTATCAGTTTCTCAGTCCAGAGTTGCTCCGAGTGTCTGTCCTTCAGCCATGCAGATTGCGTTGAACTCCGTACCAAGTGCCAGACCTGCAGAGCCTATGACTCCGACAGTTGACAAACTTGGCAAAGTTGGTAAGGAGAAGCTCAGAAAAACGTCCAGAGCGGTGTCGGAACAGCGAAAAGCCGAGCAGTTCCTCAAGGAGATGGAAACTTGCCTTGAAACTAGTGGTTGGAATGTTGGAAACAGCAGAGATGATCTCATTTTTTGTTCTTTGCGGGGTGTTGTGGTCTTTCTCAGTCCGGCAGAAGCAATCATTTTCGATGAGGAAGTGTGTTTCCATGTGTTTCCTAAGGATCAGTGATGATGATTGCCTACTATTTCTTAGTTTATGGATGTTGATAAACTGCCATAAAATTACTCACCAAACCCTCCTGGAGGATCAACTGACCCCAGGCCTGGTCGACTTGGACATACCTAAAAGATCCTAAAAGTAGGGAATGCATGTATGTATACTATATATTATATATACACACTATTATATACTATATATATACTGTATGTATATGTAATAATATGTATGCCAATGTGTATATACTTATATTATGTATACATACGTATATGTTTAGATCTATATAGCTACTCATTCCGATGTTGTTGGTCAAAGCGCCTGTGGCATGCCACTATATGCTAATTTTACAAGTGCTGTCATTCCCCACATCTTTGTGCGGGGTTCTTGTTTTTGGTTGTGCACTCCCGTCCGCTCCTTCGCCTCCTCCGGCCGTCTCCCTCACACAACTTGCTCGCACACAACTCTCACACACACAACTTGCTCACACACACACAACTTACTCTCACACGCAACTTACTCTCACCCACAGCTCTCTCACCCACAACTCTCTCACACACAACTTGCGCGCACACAACTCCACAAACACAAATTAATCTCACAGCAACTTACTCTCACCCACAGCTCTCTCACCCACAACTCTCTCACACACAACTTGCTCGCACACAACTCTCACACACACAACTTGCTCACACAACTTGCTCACACACACACACAACTTACTATTACACGCAACTTACTCTCACCCACAGCTCTCTCACCCACAACTCTCTCACACACAACTTGCTCGCACACAACTCCCACACACACACACAACTTGCTCACACAACTTGCTCACACACACACAACTTACTCTCACACGCAACTTACTCTCACCCACAGCTCTCTCACCCACAACTCTCTCACACACAACTTGCTCGCACACAACTCTCACACACACACAACTTGCTCACACAACTTGCTCACACACACACAACTTACTCTCACACGCAACTTACTTTCACCCACAGCTCTCTCACCCACAACTCTCTCACACACAACTTGCTCGCACACAACTCTCACACACACAACTTGCTCACACACACACAACTTACTCTCACACGCAACTTACTCTCACCCACAGCTCTCTCACCCACAACTCTCTCACACGCAACTTGCTCGCACACAACTCTCACACACACAACTTGCTCTCACACGCAACTTACTCTCACCCACAGCTCTCTCACCCACAACTCTCTCACACACAACTTGCTCGCACACAACTCTCACACACACAACTTGCTCACACAACTTGCTCACACACACACACAACTTACTATTACACGCAACTTACTCTCACCCACAGCTCTCTCACCCACAACTCTCTCACACACAACTTGCTCGCACACAACTCCCACACACACACACAACTTGCTCACACAACTTGCTCACACACACACAACTTACTCTCACACGCAACTTACTCTCACCCACAGCTCTCTCACCCACAACTCTCTCACACACAACTTGCTCGAAAACAACTCGCACACACACAACTTGCTCACACACACACACCAATACTCTCACACGCAAACTCCGTACTCGCACCCACAATCTCTCACCACACAACGCTGCACACAACAAACTTGCTCGCACACACTCTCAAACACACAACTTGCTCACACAACTTCTCACACAACACACACGAATGAATCTCAAACGCAAACTTCCTCGCACCCACCAGCTCTTTCACCCGTAAAACTCTTCACCACACAAACTTGCATCGCACACAACTCTTCACCAACACACAACTTGCTCACACAACGTGCTCACACACACACACAACGTATCTCTTCACACGAACTTACGCGCACCCAAGCTTCGCGCACACACACACAAAATACTCTGGCACTCCCACAACTCTCTCACACACAACTTGCTCGCACACAACTCTCACACACACAACTTGCTCACACAACTTGCTCACACACACACACAACTTACTCTTACACGCAACTTACTCTCACCCACAGCTCTCTCACCCACAACTCTCTCACACACAACTTGCTCGCACACAACTCCCACACACACACAACTTGCTCACACAACTTGCTCACACACACACAACTTACTCTCACACGCAACTTACTCTCACCCACAGCTCTCTCACCCACAACTCTCTCACACACAACTTGCTCGCACACAACTCTCACACACACAACTTGCTCACACAACTTGCTCACACACACACAACTACTCTCACACGCAACTACTCTCACCCACAGGCTCTCTCAACCACAACTCATACACACAAACTTGCGCGACACAACTCTCTCACACACAACTTGCTCGCACACAACTCTCACACACACAACTTACTCTCACACGCAACTTACTCTCACCCACAGCTCTCTCACCCACAACTCTCTCACACACAACTTGCTCGCACACAACTCTCACACACACAACTTGCTCACACAACTTGCTCACACACACACACAACTTACTATTACACGCAACTTACTCTCACCCACAGCTCTCTCACCCACAACTCTCTCACACACAACTTGCTCGCACACAACTCCCACACACACACACAACTTGCTCACACAACTTGCTCACACACACACAACTTACTCTCACACGCAACTTACTCTCACCCACAGCTCTCTCACCCACAACTCTCTCACACACAACTTGCTCGCACACAACTCTCACACACACAACTTGCTCACACAACTTGCTCACACACACACACACGACTTACTCTCACACGCAACTTACTCTCACCCACAGCTCTCTCACCCACAACTCTCTTACACACAACTTGCTCGCACACAACTCTCACACACACACAACTTACTCACACACACACACAACTTGCTCACACACACACAACTTGCTCACACACAACTTGCTCACACACAACTTGCTCTCACACACACACAACTCTCTCAGACACAACTTACTCTCACACACAGCTTACTCTTACACACAACTCACTCACACACCCACACAACTTACTCACACACACAACTTACTCTTAAGCGAAAACTCTCTCACACACAGCTTACTCACACACACAACTTACTCACACACAACTTACTCACACACAACTTCCTCACACACACAACTCTCTCACACACAACTTACTCTCACGCACAGCTTACTCTCACACACAACTTACTCTCACACGCAACTTACTCACACACACACAACTTACTCTTACGCGAAAACTCTCTCACACACAGCTTACTCTCACACACAACTTACTCACACACCCACACAACTTACTCACACACACACAACTTACTCTTACGCACAACTCTCTCACACACAGCTTACTCACACACACACAACTTACTCACACACACAACTTACTCACACACAACTTGCTCACACACACACACAACTCTCTCACACACAACTTACTCTCACGCACAGCTTACTCTCACACACAACTTACTCTCACACACAACTTACTCACACACACACACAACTTACTCTTACGCACAACTCTCTCGCACAAAACGTACTCACACACACAACTTGCTCACATGTGTGGCAGCCGTGGCACTTGGCGACATCCAGTGTCATTTGGCGTGGCAGGCGTGGCACTTGGTGACATCGACCTGCACTTTATGTGGCAGGTGTGGCACTTGACGACATCGACCTTCGCTTTCTGAGGCGTGGCGCTGGGCTGGCTCTGGTGCCGCGCTTGGTTCCCGTTTGACGCCGTTGTCGCAGCGGCTGTTTGTGTGGTAGGCGTGGCACTTGGCGACATCGACCTTCTGTATGTGTGGCAGGCGTAGCACTTGACGACATCACCTTCGCTTTCTGTGGCAGGCGTGGCGCTTATGGCACTGGGCTGGCTCCGGCGGCGCGCTTGGTTCCCGTTTGACGCCTTTGTGGCCGCGGCTGTTTACGCACACACACACACAAACACACACACAAACACACACACACAAACACAAACACAAACACAAACACAAACACACACACAAACACACACAAACAACACACAAACAACACACAAACAACACACACACACAAACAACACACACAATCAACACACACAATCAACACACACAATCAACACACACAAACACACACACACAAACACACACAAACACACACAAACACACACACAAACACACACACAAACACACACACACAAACACACACAAACACACACACAAACACACACAAACACACACAAACACACACAAACACACACACACAAACACACACACACAAACACACACACAAACACACACACACAAACACACACACACAAACACACACACACACAAACACACACACACACAAACACACACACAAACACACACACACACAAACACACACACACAAACACACACACAAACACACACAAACACACCCAAACACACCCAAACACACCCAAACACACCCAAACACACCCAAACACACCCAAACACACCCAAACACACACAAACACACGCGCACGCACACGCACACGCACACGCACACGCACACGCACACGCACACGCACACGCACGCACACGCACACGCACACGCACACGCACACGCACACGCACAAACACAAAACACACAAGTCCATCACACTTTTTCGGTTCTCGTTGCTACCGTACCCATCCCTTAACACGCTCTTTCACTCACATCCATTTCACGCAAGAATATTTCACGCACAACTCTGCCACGCACAGCTCTTGCACACGCCCCCTTCACTTTCCCGCTTTTGCCAACCCATCTTCACATATCTTCACCTTTCTTTTGCTACTTATTGGAAAAAATGACATGTGGGGTTATCCGGTCCTTTAATTGTTGTTTGTCTGTTGAGCAGCACCATCCTTTGGGACCCACCCAAGGACCTCATTGACTTTCTGCATGTGAATGATTTCTTCGGAGACAACGTGAATGAACCACGATTGGGGCATTTTGGACGAAAGGAGCAGGCAGGGTCCTTGCCGGGAAGCTTCCAACGTCTGCCATGCTTGATTGAAGGAGGAGAAACACCATTGGAGATATTGACCAAGAAAACACGGATAGACAACCAAACAATGAACAACAACATTTGTGAGCCACGGCTTGAATTTCAACACCGCACTGGGAGAAATCAGTTCCACCGTTTACAGACCCTTGTATCCAATCACTCATTTTAATTCGGTATTATTATTATTCCTTACTTGTGCCGTACTTGTATTTTGTTAAAACATGTCAAAACCATATAAACCCTGGACAAAATGGCTGATCCATTCGGCGTGTCGCCCCCGAAAAGTCGCCCAAATAGCGGTCCAGTGACCTAAAAGGCAGTACTTTTGGGATATATGAATTATTATCCTTTAAGATAGGCCTTAGACAACTTAAAGTGAACCTCCCAAAGGATAGAAAACAACCATAATTCACCATCAATATCGTTGGGATGCACACGTTCATCCCCTTGTATCGTCAAATTTATGTGTCATGATTCAGCGACCTTGGCATGACCAAAGCACATACATGATGAGTGGGATTGAAGGGAATCTTTCCAAAATTGCCAATTATTCTGGGGTACATTTAGGTTAATCAAATAATCAAAATGATTTTTCATCAATTTTGGTGCTGTGGATAAGTAACCCCATTAATTCTGATAGCTGTAAATTCTGAATTTGATATCATCGGAGCTTCCACAAATGGGTTATCCGAATCTTAAAATTTGACTGCTTTTAATTTGAAGGGTCTATGCAGGGTGGGGTGCAGGGGTGGTGGGGGAAGTCCATCCTGGCGCCCTGTAGCGGCCAAAACCAAACATATAGCATTGGTTGAACAGATCTTTGGAAGTTTGAAACTAGCCAGTCATAAAAAGAATCCCCGTTTACTTTTCCCTCATAATAGTCAAACATGGAAACTGCCTCCATGCTTCAATCGATGATTCGGATTCTTTCCAAGGATTTGAACAAATTATGGTTTTTCCATGTTTTTCCTGTTCCTGGGTGGGCCCAATAGGTGATACAGTAGGAACTACTGACAGGAGGGAAGGCCTTTGAAGAGGGCAAGTGGCTGGTGTAAGCAAAAATAGTGAAAATGCAAAGATTTACAAATCAGTCTAAGTGCATTTAAGATAGTCACTGATGTAAGGAGGGGGCCTGGGAGACCCCCTCCTTACATCAGGCGGGAGCGCTCCGGAGTGATGTAAGCCTACCCTTAACTATCTTAAATGCGTAGGGTAAAAACTCATTTAGGTTTAGAGCAGTCAAAAAATTGCCTTCAATGAGCTGCGCCTGTCACGGGCGGGCAAGGGCTAAGATTCAAGATTAACACACTTCGTGGTAACCATTGCCTGGGTAGATGTTCCAATAACCATTGGGATTTTCAGAGCGAACCATTTCATGGATTTAGCAAAGTTAGCTCTGAAAATGCCAATTATGGGAAAGAACCTGTGCAAAAAAACGGGGTTTCAGTTCCAAGGGTTCTCTATTTCCAACTTTGCGCTACCTGAGAGGGACGATCATCCATCGGATCAGCCCGAAAATTGGTGTGTGGGATGACCCTCCAAGTATCCAGAAAATATTGACACGATCAGTGACTTACCACAGCAAAAAAAAGCAAAACATATTTCCCTACATGAACTGTAAATGGGGGTATGGATGATTTCCCCTTTGCCAACTTCATTTTTATCCCACGATATTCTCTCAGATCTGATTCTAAGTAATACTGAAATTGCAGATGATGTCAACTTTCTTGGTCTATTCTATCATTTCCATCCCTATTTTTCCTAATAATAAACAGAAACTACCGCGTTTCGCTTTGGCGCAGATGTAGCAGGTGTGGCCCATTCACATTGCCGCTGAGCTGGGTGATGCCGATCTCTTACGCCGCTTGCTTCGAGCAAAAGCAGATGCGACACAGGACCGAAGATCGACCGGGTCGATGAAGCAACCAGGTGACTTAGATGGGCCATGGAACATACCCGAACCAAATGGATATTTATATGGGAAAATGATTAAATGATTAAATGGTAGACTTTCCATTGCCATGTTTCATAATCGGAGCGTAGTTAAGTGGATAGTGACTGGTTTATATCCCCTTATAACCGGATTACACCGAGCATATATTATAGTATATATATTATACTAACTATACATATTATATAAAAGATAAACTATAATATATATATATAAAATAACAAAATAAATAATACTATAATATAATATAAACTAATAAAACATAACATGATATAATATAATAAAATAAGATAACATATAACATAATACAATATATAATAGCATAAAATATAATATAATATAACATAAGATAAAATAATATATATATATACAATAAAACAAAATATAATATAACATGATCTGATATAATATATATATACAATATAACATAATATAATTTAATATCATATGACATAGTAAAATATAAAAATAAATAAAATATCACATACAAATATAATATAATAAAATAAACATAAAATAAAATAAAATAATATGATATAATATAAAATAATAAAATCAAATATAATATAATAAAACAAAATAATATAATATAATAAAATATAAAATAATAAAAAAATATAATATAATAAAACAAAAATAATATAATATGATATAATATAAAATCATAAAATATAACATAATATAATAAAACAAAAATAATATAATATGATATAATATAAAATCATAAAATATAACATAATATAATAAAACAAAAATAATATAATATGATATAATATAATAAAACATAATATAATATAATATATTATATTATACTATATTTTATATATACAATATAATATAATATAATATAATATACTATCATATAATATAATATAATATAATATAACAATATAATAGATTTAATGATATATAAAATACAATATACATAATGTATATAATGTATATAATGTATAAAATATATAAAATATATAAAGATATAAATATACAATACATATATATATAATATAAACATAGAATATATATATATAGCACATGTAATTTAAATTATATATATATCATTTTTTTCGTGTATTTGTATGCATATACATGATGGGACAGCGGATGGAATATACTGGGAGATAAACGGATATAGAATCAACGCAGTATGATATGGGTTGGAGAATGAACATGAGTTAGATTTCCACCACTCTATGACCATTTTTGGTAGTGACAATGTGGTCTTCAACTTGGCCCTATTTTAGGCTGTGCCCCCGGGGCCCCTTTCGGACAAAGGCCTTCTATGTTTTGGGGGATAGCAAAAACCGAGAGCAGATGAACATGTGACATATCCCACATGGGGTTGCACAACTCATGCTCTTAATCCAACGATAATCCCAATATATAAATCATAATAAACTGATGAAATTGTCAAGAATGGATTTGACCTCTCTCGGACATTCATTGATGTTCACACTTTTACCTGTGACACCGACCACCCGGTCCACATCAAACGTGAGCCGGTGATCTAAAAGGTAGGATCAGAAACCAACAAAAATAAACGGATTTCAGAAACCAAGAACAGATATTATATATGTCATATTTACCAACATAAATGGGAGCGAACAACACCAGTCCCACTTCAATGCAACACATATAAACAGACTAACAACATAATTTCACACACAATGAGCTGCGAACTGTCTTCTCCGGCTGGTGATTTCAATCTTTTCTATTAATTAATCCATTTGACTTGCCCCCTGCAGCAGAAGTAGTTAAGGAATAGGCAGGAAAACCGTGGAAATGAATTGCCAGTTGGAAATGGGATTTGATACTCTCCCCCTCTCTCTCTTTATAACTTCTCTCAGAAATGCCTACAGACTGGTAGTTCAAACTGGAAAATTGCGCCCAGCAAGCCAAAGAATCATGATCATCCCACTTAGTCACTAAGTAACTTACAACATGCCACTTACAGTATGGTCACAATTGGGTTTGTCTGAGTATCTGCGTTTGTTTTTTGTCAAAACGATGATCATCCACTAGATTTTGGGGTATATTATCCTATTTTCAGACGGACTCCCCAAAAGCACTCCCCCAATAGACCCCCTAAATCCGGGGGAGAAGCTATCTGTGCTTCCGATCCAAATCATTCTAACTTTGATTAGGGTCAAAATTCTGCAGTCCTAGAAGCATTATTTGGGTCATTGTTTTAAAATTATCAACATGGTTTGTGTACCCAGTTTGACATGTTGGGAATTCCGAGATACCCAAGCAGCCTTGCCGAGAGAGAGAGAGAGGTTTTTATGAGTCAAGCCGTTAGGTAGGCCTTAGGTAAGCCTTATTGTAATTAGGTATTGTCTCAGAACTCAGAAAGTCCCGAAGCTTGCGACTGACCACAAACACATTGGGATTGGCACCACTTGTATTGCAGTTGCGGGAATAAGCTAAGAAACACTATAAGAAACAAGTCACTTTGAATCATTGGGTCATTGCTACATATGTAAATATACGTATATTATATATACATATTTTGGTGGACATCACTGTCACATTTTTTAATTGATATCCGCAGAAATAGTAACTCAATTTTTTTTGGCTGTATCACCATCAGCTGCGTCACCAAATCAGTTGCATCGCTATTTTCATTTGTCAAATCCACCATGTTTCAATCTTAAAATGAGTTCAAACAGCATTTTAAATGTGTTTCAATGGCCAAATCCACCATTTTTTTTATATATGTTCATGGTCAAACCATGTTAAGCCAAGCCTCCATTTTCCCATGTTCGCGGTATTCCAAAAGCTTCCATTCTCGTCGCCAGGAGACGTCTGCAGGTCGAAGGGCCATAGACCTGGCGGCAGAAGCGGATCAAAGGGGCTCCCATGGGAAACTGGTCATGAATTTTCTCCAAAAATCGGAGGAAATGGGTGGAATTTTCCAATGGCCCGAGGGGAAAGAGCTATTTTTAGGTTGGCGAACGATTCGAATTCAAGAAAAGAGTTAAAGTATAAGAACTATTTTTCAACTCATTTGAATTTTCGAATCTTACAGCAACCCCCAAAAAGATAGAAACGTGATTTACCACTATTTCGGATAGTCGGATTTCCGAGTTGCTAGATTTTGAATAGTAGAATAACAAAGATCATTGTGATGTGTATGAAAACAGGGGGTCTAGTAAAATATGAGAATCTTAATAATAATCTCAACACTGGATTTAACAACTACTAAACTATTGGAATTAATCTCAATAATCTCACTGCAATGGTATGATAACAATGATAATCTTGCTCTCTCTCTCTATATATACACACATATCACGGGGTAGTTGATATCAGGGGGAAGGTCTTATACCATTTGAGCAGTGGCTGCTAAACCCGTGTTGATTGTTTTTTTTTTGGGTGGGGGTGGGGTTCTAGTACTTGTTATATTGGATACACGCATTGTGTTTAGCCACAAAAAAAATGGGGCACTGAACCCCAATTTACTTCTATTTAAAGATGTAACACATTGATAAACCCTTGGATTTCCGAGTACGCCATTTTTGGTCAAATCTTTATGGGTCAATCATAGAATTGGCTCGTGAGAATCAGCTTATTGTGGAAAGATGGGCAATTCTTGGAGGGTGCCACAAATGGTTTCCTGCTTCAAAACAAGCCAGTGAGTTAGGCCACGGGGTACTTTTCAAAATGGGTATGATAGTATGACCCCAAAAGGGATATTTTCCCCGTCGGCTTCTGCTGTTGACCATGTTGACGCCGTGATTTTTTTCCCGTTCACACAAGGTAGCCCCCCCCAGTTATGTTTGTTGCTTTATAAATTTTATTAACTATACTTGTATGTCTTGTATCTACCATAATCCCCAGTTATTGTAGATATAAATATATAAACCAAACTTAGCTAACTAACTATGGAGCACGGCCTTGCAGGAAACGGGATCCATTTACCATCCGGGTATAATGATACGGCTGCATTCTACTATTCTACCATACTTTACCTTGCTACGCCTCGACCATCGACTGCTTGATTTCGATTTGCATGTGGCACATATTCACTTAGTGTAATGTGATGTACAGCAACAGAACCCAACGCAACACAACGTAACGTAAAGTTATGGCGTGGTACTGGCATGGTATGGTGTGGCATGATTTGGATTGATGTGGTATGAAATTCATATCCATGCAGACAATTCTACGCGCACCAATGCACAATCGAACAATTCTCTCTCTCTCTCTCACACACTCATTCTCGCGGTACATTATTGCATATTTAGTGCCATTCTCTCTCTCTCTCTCATGGAGCCTCAGGTAATCAAAGATGGCAATGGAAAATCCTCCACTTGTAGGGGATTTTCCCATTAAAAGCTCCATTTGCCATGTTTGATTCCAGGAGGGTACAGATGTACACGACACGCACGTGCTTCGTCCTCTGCCTCCATGGCACCTAGGCAAGTCATAGATCTCCTTCGGGCAGGTGTGACGTGCTGTTCTGCTCGTGAAGCATTGACCTTGCTTTGATCGCGACCATTAGGCATCGGCGATGAGCGATCAGCGATCAGTCAGTTGAGATTTTGAAGCCGCAAGCCATGCACTTTGCCAGGGTGGTTGGAATGGAACCTCATTAACATATTATATACTGGTTGGTGGTTTGGAACATTTTTTATTTTTCCATATATTGGGAATAATAATCCGAACTGACTATTATTTTTCAGAGGGGTTGAAACCAGCAATCAGTATATATATATAAATTATTATATATATATACACATACACACATACGCACATACACACATACACACATACACACATACACGCATACACACATACACACATACACACATACACACATACACACATACAGACATACATACATACATACAGACAGACAGACAGACAGACAGACATACATACATACATAACGTTACGTTCCGTTACGGTACGTTAGGTTAGGTTAGGTTATGTTACGTTACGTTACGTTACGTTAAAATACTTACGTTATAATACTTACGTTACTTACATTACTTCCTTACATACATACATGCATGCATGCATACATACATACATACATACAGACAGACATATACATATACATATACATATACATATACATATACATATACACATATACACGCATACACACATACACACATACATACATCCATACATCCATACATCCATACATCCATACATCCATACATACATCCATCCGTCCATCCATACATACATAGATACATACATAGATACATAGATACATAGATACATAGATACATAGATACATAGATAGATACATAGATACATAGATACATAGATACATAGATACATAGATAGATAGATAGATAGGTAGATAGATACATACATACATACATACATACACACATATATATATATACACGTTAAAATATCATCTATACATATGATTTCAATAAACCTGAAAAAGAGGCTCTGAGTTTGATGCAACAACTCTATTTTTGCGCCTGGATTTTTCGCCGAACGCCAGGATGATTTACCAAGAGGACGCTGAAAAAAACATGGTTCCTCTGTCGGTTATGGATGGTAATTGGATCCAGCTCCTAACTTGGATGTACCAGGTAATTGGATGCATACCATGAAAAAATAGGTACATTTCCAGCTATTACATGCAGATCAAAAGAGGTGGACCAAACACTTATAAATTGGATAACCAGAAAGTTTTTATGGGCTTATGAACCAGCCATGAATTTCCAGGGATGAAGAGCTACGCGGAGAATATCAACCACTTAGGCACACCAAAGCCACCCTACTCAGACCATCCCAGTTACTAACTGGCTAACATTATTATTATCACAAGTTCCTCAATTTTTGGTTACTCTCCACCAATCAAACGTGGCAATTGAACATATCTTCTAAATGGAGGTTTTAAGTTTCAATGGTGAATTTTCCATTGCCATGCTTACTCCCACTGACTAAGCGGCTACTAAGATGATCCTCCAAGTACGGTAGTGGTCAGATTGCTTTGTTTCTCTTGATGTATCTCCAACCAGATCTCTCCACAATGTGGAGTTTGTAAAAACCCTGTCCATGGCAACGGCAGGGGGCCGTTCTTGGCACATCAAACATGGTGCGCGAGCAGTGCTGCATCGACATTGCAGCACTGCGAAAGAATTGGCCCATTGCGTGTACTCTTTCCATCACTTTTTCATAGCGATCAGCTATGAACAGGCTGCACTGTATGCACTCAGGAGAAGCCGCGGTACTGGTGCGACAAAATGGAGACCACATTTGATTTCTCGATATTTCGCTGAAAAGCCTGTCCCTTTGCGTGAAATTTCGAAGATTTGTCCCATGTCTGCACCAAGACTGCTGTTGTGGAGAACACTGCACCAATTCTGCGATTCACATGCGTGCCTGCAGCCAGAATGATTCTTCACTTGGGCAGAAGAATGGGAGAAGGAAAATTGAGATGGGGATGAGTCGAGTCATTTGGTTACCGGCAATAATTGGGTGGTTTGGTACGAAGAATGACCAACATCTGCAGTTCCCAGAGCTTCTTGCCATTGCAACATCTTTTTGCCAGAGAGGATGTGCCGCAACCCGAAATGCGAGTGAATGGTGGGCTGTCACCTGACACCTGACAGCTTCTCGGTTAGAGGAACTTGACCTGGATGACATGTGCCGTTAGCCGTTAGCATTTCATCACATTCTACGACATCCCATGAATGGTGGCTAACGACCATGATTTGTTCTCCCAGTTGAAACGTGGATAAAGCATGATAAAGCATGAGAAACTATGAGAAACTATGATAAACTATGAGAAACTATGAGAAACTATGATAAACAAGTCATGTAATCCAGGGGTTCAAAAAACCGGGTACCATTCCTGGACATCTTCCGGGACCGGCCTGTCCCTGTCGCCAGAGTGGGGAACCCTCAGAGTACCAGGCTCTGTGGGATCCAATCGCTGTGGTAATGCGGGCCCGGACATAGAGGCAGAAGTCAAAGACAGCAGCTGGATGATGGAGCACCACTGAAAACCCCATATGGATGCAATGGCGATGCCATGAAATATTGGGCCTTCACTGTAGCTCTGTGTCACCTAACTCAGCAGGTCGGCACGATCAGTGAGCTCCTGGTCACTTTAGAAAGTCAACGTGCTGTTCATGGACTTTAAAAGTAACAATACATAGTTCAGCCAGACAAGCCAGACGAATGTAGGTAAAAGGATGTTTTTTTGTTGCTGAACATACTGTTGCCATGGAGGGTACAAGGTGGCACCCAGTTCGTGAGCAAAATTGGTAAAACAGAACTCCAGTAACCAGTTCATGGCTCATGTTTTTTTTTTTTTAACCAACAAACATCTCACTGGCAGGCCACCACTTATAGACTTATAGATGATTACGTTTAGTGATTTTCCATATTTTTCCCATTTCTTCCACCCTTGGAAGCGCGGGGGACTCGGCCGGTGGCCGCTAACCGAGAGGTACAACCAGGAGAAACAAAGCGCCGAGGCAGCTCAGGCACCTTTGTGCTGGGGATGCTTCATTTTGTATGTGAAGAACAGCTACAATGAAGCAACTAGCAAAGGTGGCAAAGGTGGGATTTGGCAAATATGGTAGGTGACTTTAGCAACTTTAGCATGGTGAGTCTAGCGGCAAAAAACCAGTGAACATGACCCAAGCATTGCAGCTTGCTGGCTGCCACACTAGTCTCCGTTGTTCGGGGATATCATGATTTGAGCCGCTTGCTTTGAAGCACGGTTTGTTCGGACCAGGACCACTGTTTTTTCCCTCAGCCATCTCTTTTTTCAAGAGGCATCCACACCCTTTGGATATGATCAGATACCCATGACTGTAGCTGAAATATCCCCAGGTCAACTCCGCATCAGCTGCTTTAATTGAGACCCAGGCGAAAAGCCATGAGCTCGACTCTCAGATGTGTCCAAGCGTTTTTGGGAAGGGACATGGTGTGCGAAAGCCTCTGGTTTGCCCAAACAGAATATGGCTAGAAACTTGCTCAAGCTTTATGTTTGTCATGTTTGTGGATGTTTTATTAAGTTTTAATGCCGTGCCTTTCCACAATTTTGTCTTTCAGGGTAGACCACAGGAGGGTCATGACCCTCTGACAATGGGGAGCTGGTCACTCTGGTCACCCTGGTCACCAGGTTGGGCCATGGAAGTTGTACACGCTTCATAACTGGTTATATCATATCAGTTATATATCAGTTATATATCAATTATATATCAGTTATATATCAGTTATATATGAGTTATATATGAGTTATATCCCCTCAAAAACCCCAACTGGAGTATGGGTTATAGTTATAATCATTATAATCCACCGATTCACTCCACTGGGATGGTGAGGGGATAGCCCCAGGTATGAGGCGTGAGTCCCTGGAGACAATGTACTGGCCAACATGGCATGGGATAATTTTATTAGACCTAAACTCGGGACGAGTTTGGCCATTTTTAGTATGACATATGGTCTTTTTAATGATTTTGTGGTACATTATAATTTCTTTAAGCATCATTTAGTCGGGGATTCTCTATGGGTCCATCAATACTGGAGGACGTGACGCAGCTCTGAGGTTGGACAATCTATTTTCGGAATTTTGCAATGAAATCTCTGAATTGCAAAATCTATTGAGTTGAAACATTTATATGGCGCTCACGCGGTCGCATGTTGTTGGACACTGGGGGATTCAGTATGTCAATTGCTGTCAGCCGCCTCTCTTTTCGCCAAAATTTTGCGACTGCTACCCCTCAGCCGTTTATGATACAGATAAAGCATATCAATGCATATCAAGTGTATGGAGGCCGATTAACTATAAATTTTCATAAGACCCCCATCCCAAGCCTGCTCCACAAGGAACACCAATATCACTTGTGTGACAACAATCGGTACAGCCATATTCCTCATACTTTAAATTTATGACCATATATCATATTGGTTTATGCTTACACCATTATATTGAAATAACATACTATATAGAGTAAGTAACCAACAGATAGAATAAAAAGCTGGCATTCTTTTTTTCAAAAAAATAGTCAACATCAACCCATTGGGTAAAGAACTTGCAGATAGAATATTTTAATATTCTATCTGCTGGTGCTATGGTTTTTACAAGGATTTTGGTGATTTTGGATGGATTTCAATGTGGAGTTTCCTTAAGATTGTGTGCCAGCTCTGTTGGCATGCAAACATATATCAATTAGTTGCAGTAAATCACACACAAAATCATTGAAATTGTTCATTTTAACCTGAATTGGTTGCAGGAAATGGTACACATAATCATTGAAATGGTTCATTTTAACTTGATTTAGTTGCAGGAGTGATGGGAAATTGTTTATTTCAACCTATTGGGTAAGAATATGTAAGAATAATATTTGATCTCTCTGCTTTTTGTCCTATTCTATCTGTTGACTTGACAATCCTGAATTTTCTATCTGTTGGTTAATTACATTTAATTACTATATATATATATAATTTAAATTTGATAATAATAAATAAATATATATATATAGAATCCTTAAATTTATTAG